GCAAGATTAGGTGCTTCCGAGGCCTGCTCGAGCCACCATGGCGTAGAGTCTTGTGGTCTGTGTACGATTATCCTTGTGCCCATGGGAAAATTTCTTGCCTCTCGCTCTCTCTTAACCGGCAGCTTTCCATTCGCATTGGCTATTTTGCCACTCGATCTTCCGGGTAAATTGGGAGTGGATTGGATATCGTGAGATGCAAGGTAGGGCTTTTGCATGGCTAGTCTATTCAATAGTGGGTAAGACTATCTGGCGTCTGCACGAATGAGTGTGAGTAGTCAAGTTTCTGCGAAAAGAGATGTGTATTGCGTCCAAGGGGATTGGTTGAGCATATAGCTTTGCCTATGCGGCTGAAAAGAGAGTTCCGAAGGAGTACATATGAGATATATGTTGTAGTCTATATATTCACTACGATTGGCCAAATGGATGTTTCTTACTCTATGGGAGCTGTGATGTTGTATAAAAGACGACTGTTCGGAAGAAAACCATGTGCTAGGTGGATTTGCATAGGTGCTTTATAACATGATATATACGCAAAGGAATATTTGCTATCCCAAAGCCTCCTCTGGACGATCATGGATAAAGGTTGAGCGATGGTTTTGAAGAATAAATGACGAGATTAATGATCAATTAAAGATTGAATACAAGATGGAGTTAATACGGTCTGTTATTTCCGTCCTTAGACAATGAAGAATACCCGGGAGATCTAAGCTGCATCGTATGAGTATTATCACACTTCATGTTTGCCTATAGCCTCATATTTCTCGGGTTTTGATGTCGGTCGCCAGTCGCAGACATGGTTTGTTTCCTTTAGTCTCACTCTGAATGTCTTAATTTATACGAATCAGAGATCCTGTCTCTTTGAGGATGAGTTTAGTACCCTGTGTATAACATGCAATTAATTTAGCATTTGTCGATCTCCCTTGGCTATCACAATGCCCACAGATACAACTAATTAAATGTATCCAGAATGGTCATTACGAACGAGAGGAGCAAATGAGGAATGGAAAGTAATGACTAAGGGTAGTCTCTCTGATGTAAGGCCTTTGTCTTGAAACAAAAACCGACCTTATTGGAAAATGGACCTCTGCGAAGCCAACTCCGTAGGAAATACAAAAATGAAGACCACAAACAAAGGATCCTAATTTTAGCCTTGAGTGATATTTGGGGAAACCCGGGATATCGGCTGGGGGTCTTGCACAGATGGGACGCATTTGTGGTGAAAGATATGACTTTTCGCAATACCTCCAAGAACGCGAAGAACTAAGTAGAAGGACGATAGAAAGAAGACGAAAAAGCAGATGAAGAAAGAATAGCAAGCTTACAAATATGTCTACACTGACATGCTTGAGGCGTACCGACTCTGACTTACACGGGCCGAGACTTGTGTAGCTCTACACTTGCCAAATGAAGACAGTTTGGGTTGGCTACGGCTAATAAGAACAGACTGACGATACGCGGAGTTGATATTACTTGCTATAATTATTGTCTTGTGGGCTCGATGTAGCCATTGTATGTCCCATGCATGTGATAGTAGACTTTTCTTTAGATTGCTTTTGTGCTCGAAACAGCTATTATTTTGTGGCTACATGCACCCTAAAAGAACAAAAAAATGCTTCTCATCTATCTGTCTTTTAATCGTGGCACCTGTATTCCAGATTAAACAGGAAACCCATCTCATATCAAACCCGCAAGTCCCATCAAAAAAACCATTTACTGCGCGACGCCTGCAAGTTGAATCAATCGCTCACCCGCCCGAATGCTGGCATACTCGTAGACCTTGGATTCGGGGGGAAAGGTCCCATTTGCCGCCCAGAGATCGATCAAGGGCTGCATTGGCTCCAGCTCTTGCTTCCCCAGCATGTCCAGCGCGGTAGCTGTTAGCAGAAAGTGTGAGAAACAGCTGTTGAGCTGCTTCTCCAAGTTGAGATGATAGTAGGGCTCTGAGAAGTGAGCCCAGTAAAGGTGAGCGTACACTCTGAACATTTGACGGAAGATCATCTGGCAGATGTCGATGAACTTGTCTGGAAAGCCGGATCGCTTGCCGACCCAATCAGCCTCGCCGGGGTTGGTGAGCTGGGAGAGTGGCGTCGACGACATGGCGGGATTGTGAGAGTAGGAGACGCCGGCGGGGTCAGTTGGGAAGATGGCGGTGTCGTCAATCTTGCCCGTGATCCACCGCTGCATGAGTGTCATATACTCGTGAGCTGGCAGCTCGACTGGCTCCCGTCGACTGTTGAGCCAAGTGAATGAGTGGTTGCTAGCGGCTTGTGTGAGCAGATGGAAATACTAATTTGAGATGAAGAGGAAATCCGTTCACTTACGCTCCTGCGGACATGCGAGGACAGGTTGTTGGGTTGCAGATAGTGTTTCCGGTCTCCTCCTTGGCGTGGACTACCTGAACAAAATTCCAGAGGTTGCGATAGTGCTCGACAACTACATCATATCGGTCAGCGCTGGTTGACAAAGCAACGATGAACAGAGACTCGTGTAGTACACTAACCTTGATGAGCAACCCACTCCCCCTGCTCAACCGTCTTTGGTCGAGCGCTCAGGGTCATAAAGTTTCCCTTGACAATGTGCTTTGCGCAATGTGAATTGAGCCACAGCGGAAGCGGCCGCGGGAGGTGGTAAGAGTTGATGATATCATCGCCGCTGGGGGCACCCGATTCAGCCATTCTAGCGGGTTGGGCAGGAGAAGTTGGGGCAGGAAAGGAAGGAGTTCTCTGAGGCGGGTTGTCTGAAGGTATCTTGGGAGATGAGGCGGCGTCGGAGGAGGGATGCAGGGGGGGCTGGGCACTTTGTGATGGGGATGGGCTTTTGGGCCCGCCTCGGAGACGAGCGTTGCTAAGAGGCCTGGGTTAGCGGAAAGGCATAAAGTATAGGTGATAGATGATAGACGCAAAGCACAACAAGTTGGGAGAGATGTGATGAGATGTTGCAGTTAATAGCGGAGCAGAGATTTGGGTAGAGACAACGTGGGCTTCGCTTAAAGCGTCTCTAGCGTGTCGAATGAGGCTTAAGTTGAGACGAATGCCGAAGCATGCAGGGAATGAGTGTGCTTTTTATAAATAGAAAGCAGAGGGAAAGGGGTAACGAAAGAGGAAATAAATAAATTAGGATCAGGGGTGGAGATTTGGTTCTTTCTTTCGTCTGCTCGAAGCATATATAATCGCTGTGAGATGCATCCAAGATGCTTCGACTCCAGTTACGGACAGCTACTCGTTCGCTGGATTTGCCTTTGATGATGACACGTGGGAATCATCATATCGAGTGCCCATCTAGTGAAACGAGTCGGACAGGCAATGCCGATGCAACATGGTCCAGATGATGGGCTGTCTTTTGGATATCGATAATGCCTAAAAGTGGCACCTTGGGAGCTCCTCAGTCCAGGGTGCCCAGCCGGAGTGTCCCAAGCCATTGAGTGCATCTCAGCAGTGCGAAATAGAAGCCTGAATGCCGAAAGCTTTGCGGTGACGAGTATTTTCCAATGGGATTCCAAGACGATCGAAATTCGGTTGCAATGACGATGATATTTGGGATATCAAATGCGAACACATAGCAGCTCGAGACACTTGCCCCTCACCGCTGGGAGACGCCGTTTCAGGACCCCCTCCCTCAATGAAGCCTAATCGGGTAGTTTTCTCAACAAGGCAATGCAGCAGCAGCTGTGCTGCGTTACCTTGTCTCTCCCATCAGACATGCCGGGGATAAAGGAGACGGAGAGAAAGAAAAACAACAAACAAAAGCAACCGGCATCTGACGGCTTCACTTACATCCCAGAGAAGAGGTTGGACATTGTAAAAAGGCGGGGTGCGAAAGGGCGGGTGCAGCAAACAGATGGACTGCAGACGGGGCTCCAGCCTTGTCACGGGATCCTATGCAGGCAGAAAATAGGGGTGCAGAATGGCTGGTCCAGGGCTGAGTGGCATGTGCTCGCTACCGGGTCACCTTTGAGGCTGTCGTAGTATGTCTGCTTATTCGGATGCTTCTGAAGGGATACGGAGTAGACGAGGATGAGTTGTTAAAATGCTACGAGTCCCCGTGTCGGTCCCAGCTTTTAGACTAGCACGAGTACTTACGACGCCTTGCGAGGCCGTTGCAATAAGGAACTGACGGGCGCTATTACAAAGTACAAAGTACGGAGCCTTGCGGTATTGGCACGGGGAGTTAGTGCCGTTTGGATCGAGTAATGAGGACAATCTCGCTTTTCCCTTGGCTAGCCATGGCTTAGGCGTGTGGAGGTTTCAGGTCAGCCATTAGCGGCGCGTTTGGAACTTTTGATGCCCATGGCCGTTGTACTCGTATGTTTTGGCATTTACTCTTTCAAAATTGAGTATCAGACGAAAGATCAGAAGTTGGTGATAAGACGAGTGAAATGGATATACTGTAGTCTTTTTGTTTTGGCCTTTTTTGAGGTGGCAGTGGAAAAAGATGTGCTTCTGAAACTTGGCATCAAACATCACATGCAATCAATCAATCAACCCGCCAAAATACAGCCTTGACGCCTGGTTCTTGCGCTGACTAAACATTTCTCTGGATAATCAGATATGCAAGACTTGTCTCTTGATACTTTTGATATTTTAAAAGACCATTCTCACATCGGAATGCCACCATCATGGATTCCCATTGACAAGACGGTTGTGCACGAGCCCAGCCTTGTGGATAGCGTGAAGCTGGTCCCGATATCCGGAAGAAATTCGCACTAGCTGGAGTGTCTGACTAAGCAGCTCAATTCAACCAATTAGATTCTGCTCCAAGATTCCCAAGTCGTAAGTGTGGCTGATGACAGGCGCACCAGCCACAACACCGAGTTGCTGCTCGAATTGAGACCGCGCTCTGCAAACGTGCCTCGCGCAGCAGATTTCGAAATCGCAGCGTTGCCAATATATCCATCCCTGCGGATCAGTTATTCCCTTCATTGGTGCATTGAGGCTCTCTTGTGCACCTACAAAGTCTCGAAACAACATTTTCTTGGACAAGTTCTTTTGCAGCAGCGCGCAATGTCTGATTCAGAGGATCCCCTTGACGCCATCGACGAGGGCGGCGATGACCTTTTTGGCGACGAGGGCGATGAGGGCGATGCCTCTCCCCAGGCGCGCATTCTAGACGACGATGATCTCGCCTCTGATCCCGAAGCATATGGCGAGGCCGAGCCGCGAGAGTACGATGGAAGCCAGTCACGACAGGAAACTAAGGATAGAATCGTCATGGCTGTGCAAGCCTATCGCCATCGCATCCCTAAACCATCTGACGACTCGGTAAGTGATTCGGAGCGCCGTACCAGGGCACTCAAACTCTCTTGACCATCAACATGCTTACGGATGGGCTAGCTTCGTGTGATGCGTGTTCCGAAATTTGTCAGGTTTCTCCCCGAGCCATACGAGGAAGAGACTTTCCAACCCTCCGCATTCGATCTTGAAAACGCAAAGGCAGAGCACCCAAAACATGTCGTCCGGGTTCGCAGAGATCCAAGCACAAACGAACTGAAGAGCAATACGAATATCTACCGGTGGAGTGATGGTTCTGTCACAATTTCCGTCGCCGGCGAACACTACGAGGTCCAGAAGAAAGCTTTGGCCCCAGGTCTCGGACAGCCCTACGATGAATTGAAGGACGGCCATTACTACGCTGCCGCTGCCGAATTAAGTAGCAACCTGCTGATGACTGTGGGTCACTTGACAGAGCAGTACACAGTCAAACCAAACAAGGCTGTTGGAGACAACGCCCTGTCCGTTTTGGCAGAGAGAATGGCTCTCGCTAGCAAGTCATCAGCTAGCAGCGAGATGATTATCAAGACAGTGGTGGATCCCGAGTTACAGAAGAAGCAAGCTGAGTTGGCCGAAAAGGAGCGAATGAAGGCCCAGCGAAAGCGCGACAATGCTGTGGCCAAGATGGACGGTGGCGTGGGACGATCCGGTCGTGGCGGGCTGTCAATTGGCGGTTTGGAGGGTCCTCGGTCTGGAGCAGCCCGAAAGAGAGGAGCGCCTGGCTCTGCGCGACCCAAGAGACGGCGTCCAGAGTATGACTCTGATGACGACCTGCCCCAGGGTGTCTCGCGACATGAAGACTACGACTTGGATGACGGCTTCTTGGTGGGCAGTGACGAAGAGGAGCTGGAGAGTGGCGTTGACGATGACGAGGAGGAAGATATCCTGGATGATGAGGATGATGCTCCACGGTCTAAGAGGCAACGAACCAAGGAGCCCGAAGACGATGAAGATGCGGAAGGAGACGAGGTTGAGCCCATGGAGACGAGTGGCAGATCAGGCAGACGGCGAAACGTGATTGATGATGACGACGAATAGGATGTTTTCAGGGAGGTATATGGCCAAGGAAGATGAGGGCTATGGCTTGTCGACGGAGACTCGCCAAGCCCTTTTTATACATGTAAACTAATTACCAGCTTGACAGTTTGATATTTGGGCAAAAGCAAAAGGATACAGACGGGAGACGCTGAGGCAGTTATGCACTTGATTGGTATTCTAAACAGTACCTTTTCTCTGAAACTCTAGTACTACAGGTCAATCGATGGGCAATGCATCAGATCTGTCCAGATCGAACGATTGTTCCGATGCTCCGTAACTTACTCCCTGGTGTCAGCCAGCTAGCTTGCTCCGTAAATTATACGAGGGAGACAATGAATAAGACGGCTCCCCAACGCCGTTTCGATCCAGGCACATTAGTATATTAGTGGTGGCAAGACAGGCCCCAGTCAAAAACGTTGAGAGGAAATGTGGTCCCTTGCGAAGCCTCCACTTTGGACAGGAGAATGAACGTAGTGGAATTTATCATTGTTTTTTTTGAAGGTCTTAAAGATGAAAGAAGGGTTGAAAGAATTGCAGCTCCGATAGGTACGCAAGTATGTAGTTTGTACAGTATTTCAGTTGTATTGTATTGTCACCTTGATGCATGTTGCCGATACTTGTCTATCGATAATGCTGTTAGACTCCCTGCCCTGTCATGCATCTGCGCATGTCAAATGTTCTAGGCCGGGAAAATGTGGCGCTGTGGCGCTGCCCCAGGGTGATCTCATACTTGCGCTCCTCAACAATCCATCACATGCTCGTCTTTTTAATTAGCGGCCAGGCCGTGGGAAAACGGCAAAAGGAACGCCGGAAATGTCATCAATTGCCGTGGTGCTGGCCCGGGTGTTGCTGCAGCTTGATCAGACAACAATCAGCACGGCACGATTGAGCTGATTTGCAGCCCAAACCTCGATTACCTGTACTGTGTCGCTCGCTATCACAAGATTGCAACTGCAGAGCTCGGCCTGCGATGCCGCCATCGCCTCTCGCTTGTCCTCGGCGCGCTGCGAACTGAACTCAGCTAAACCGAACTGAACCGACCCACCGTTGTCACGCAACGCAACGTGTAACGTGTACGAGCACCGACAGCGACAGTGACGACGCAACAGCAGCAGCAACGGCAAAGCAGCCCTCGTGAGATGGTCTGGGGCGCCCGTCCACGTTCCTCGGCGTAATCATGGGGCTCGTCCTGGCTGTTTGTAGGGTGGTGGTGGACGTGGCTACTTTCTGGCGCAAGGTAACGGCGCTCTCGTTGATGCTCCCCATCGCCATGATCGTCTTTCTGACGCCCTTGAAGAAGCTCCTGAGCTGGTATACGCGCAAGAACCCCGTCAAGCTGTGGCTTGAGCTGCTGCGCAATGCAGAGACGTTTGAGGAATGGGAGGAGGCGGCGCTCCATCTGGACAACCTATTGGGGCTCGACCTGTGGTATGCAGATGAATCAATCTCCTTCCTTGGAAGATTGTATAGACTGTACTAACCATTGCTGTCTCTGAATAGGAGGAACAACCCAACGTCAAAGTATTACGACTGGGCGCTCATAACAGAGCGACTAGACTCACTCATCATCGCACGAGAGGAGAACAACTACGAACAGCTCGTCAACCTGCTCCGGTCGGGCCTCGTCCGTAACCTCGGCAATATCGCCGTACCGAAACTATACAACCGATCCTTTTCTGGGACCAAATACCTGATCGAAGAATACATTGCTCAGGTGGCCGAGTCTGTCGAGGACATCAGTGCTCTGCCGACGAGTGCGGCCTCGAGCCTGCATCCCAACGAAAAGGCGTTGACGAACCAGATGAAGTTGGACTTTATCCACGATACGAGACAAGCGTTTGGGCGGACGACACTGGTCCTCCAAGGCGGCGCCATCTTTGGTCTGTGCCATCTCGGAGTAGTCAAAGCCTTGTTTCTGAGAGGCTTGCTCCCCCGAATCATCACTGGCACGGCAACTGGTGCATTAATCGCTGCGCTAGTAGCAATACACACAGAGGAGGAACTTCCAGCCGTTCTACGGGGTGATGGCATCGACCTCAGTGCCTTTGCATCCAAGGGGGTGACGGAAGATGGTCAAATCCCTGCTGAGCAGTCCCTGAAGTCGAGGTGGGAGACTCTATTACGGAGGATTCGTCGATTCTCGCGTGAGGGTTACTTCCTGGATGTCACCGTACTCGAGGAGTGTGTAAGGGCAAATGTCGGTGACTTGACATTCGAGGAGGCCTACAATCGCAGCAAGAGAGTGCTCAACATAACGGTGGCGACGGATGGTCAGGGGGCAGGGGTACCGACTCTGCTAAACTACATCACTGCTCCGAACGTGGTACGTGTAACCAAAGAGTCAAAGAATTTCTGTTAATGTGCTGACTTTGATGATTACAGCTGATTTGGACGGCTGCAGTCGCCTCTAATGCCTCTTCACCATCTCTATATGGCCGCTCCAAAGCCACAATCTTGTGCAAAGACGCTCACGGCAACATTGTTCCTTGGGCCCCAGCAAACACGACTGACTTCCGTCACTGGACGCATGCTTCCTACACAGATCGTGACTCTCCCCTTCGGCGAATCGCCGAGCTCTTCAACGTGAATCACTTTATCGTCAGCCAAGCAAGGCCTTATCTTATTCCCTTCTTACAGTCCGACATGCACGGACCGTCTTTACTGGAGACTCGAAGCAAGACCACACAGCTCTCAGCTTTCCTCGTTCGAATGGTGGGACTCGAAATTAGACACCGTTTGCGGCAACTAGATTCGCTTCGCCTTCTACCTGCGAGTATCCGCCGCTTCCTTGTCGATGAGCAAGTACCAGCAGCATCTATGACGTTAGTTCCAGAGGTGACTGCTGGCGACTTTGTTCGTTTGCTTGAGACGCCTACTCGAGATACCCTGAACTACTGGATACTACGCGGCGAGAGGAGCGTGTGGCCGGCGTTAGCGGCGCTGAGGATACGTTGTGCTGTGGAGAACGAGTTGGATCGATCATATCAAGTGGTGCGGAAACTCAAAGCAGGTGACTTGCGGCGCAAAGGAAGCATGGCGGCATTTGCCGACAATGGGCGTTAGAATAGGAACGGATAAGGCGGGATACTGACTTTTTAACTTTTTTTCTCTTGTATCTTTGGTATATAGTATTTGTTATGGGATCATCCTTAATGTGGATTTCTGGAGGTTCAAGGGGGATTTAAACTAGGCGTAGGCGTCACGTCGTATATAAATCATTCTGAATATAATTATAATTATTTGCCTGAAAATCTGACAATGCAACGCAAAACACTCAGTTCTTTTCTTTGGCAAGGATCACGGAAGGAGACCAGTAACGATTGTATTCTAAATGTGTGTGTTTCTACCGGCTTCGATGGCCGGTTTAGTAAAGGATTATGCTTCGCCCAAATGACTCAAATCATCTACTGAATCGGTACTTGAAGGGGTACGAGAAGGTGCCATGGCAAAATTTGGTAAGTATAAGTCAATACTCAGTCTATAGACTAAGGTTCACGGTGCAGGGCAAATTGCGCGGTAAGGTTCAAAAGCGCATTTCTAGGTTCAACTCGGAAGATCCTTGATGTTGTTGTTGTTTATGGTCTGTGGTTATAAAAAGACTTGATTGTTCATGGTTTCTTCTTCGTTTTCTTCTTATCCATACCTCTCATTTGTTTTCAAAGTGAATACAAGGCGACCCGACTTTCACTTGGTGCTCTTCTCGATATTGACTTCGCGCTTAACATTCACCTCTATTGTCAACAATTTTGTTTACTTTCCATTAACTGTGGAAACATCTTTACTACTTTCCATCGTGAATTGGAATGCCCCAAAAAGGCACAACGTTTGCTACTGTATTTCTCCTGCCACCAACAAACCTACGATATGCCGGTGCGCGAAATCCCTGAATACGCCACGGCGTCGTTCATCTTCTTACCTGACATGAAATCCTCAGGAAAGATACTGCTTAGCGAAATCGAACAAGAGAATAAACCTCATAGATTAAACAATATTCTTAAGGACGTAAGATGCATTTTTTACGACGCGCCCTATAGAGACCCTCCAGCGACAGCTGACGGCATGAGCCGTCGCCCAGCGGACGACCCATGCGCCGGGAACTACTGGTACACGTCTGATGATCCAATTGGTGCGGACGAGACAGCGACTGCGATCCAATGGATGCAACTCTCTTACGACATCAAATGGCTTGAGGAAATGGTTCGGCTCGAGGCTCGGTTTGTTGGGCGGGAAAATGTCTTCATTGTGGGCTTCGGGACTGGATTTGGGATTGCGGCAGCGACTGTGTTCCAGATGGAGGAGCGAATTGGAGGTCTATTGGGAGTTCACCCCGTGATGCCGTTTCACGTGGATTTGAAGTACATTGCCCTGGACGGACAGACAAAGGCGGTGGTAAACGCTTGGTCAGAGATGGAGAAGAAGAGAAAGGAAGAAGGAGGACAGGGGGAAGAAGAAATGGAAGAAGATTTCTCTGATGTCGATGGGGCTGGCTCTGAAGCCTCAGCTAGGACTCTTTGTGTTAATGACGGCAATGACCAGACTCACGAAGCGAGACTTGGAAGACTGATGGGCTTACTCCGGTATCTTGTTGATAAGGGGGAGGTGCCAACTTTTAAGAGGGTCTGCGATCGCTCAGACGCTTCTACACCGGTGATCTTGCTCCATGGTATGGATGATAAGCAAGTCCATTTTTCGTACGCGAAAGACACCGTGCAAACGTTCTGGAATCTTGGTTACAAAGCCAAGCTAGACATTATGGAGGATGAGGGCCATAAGCTATCTCGAATGATGCTTAGAGAGCTGTTCACTCACTTTGTGAAGCTGGGTCTAGGGAATGAAGCGACGAGAAGTCAGATCCAACATCATCTTTAGAGGGATCGAAAAGACGTTCTGGTGAGGAAATTTTGGTTGGATAGCGAAATGGGGGCTGTTGCTTCGAATTTCTCAAGAGAAAGAATTATTTTATGGTCGAGTATGAAGATTATGAGGATCATGGGCTTGGATATTTGGAATGATTCACGACTTTACGAAGTCTAGATGATACATGTAGTCTTAAGTGTTTGTGTAGTTACTATGGTTTAATTTTTGTCATCCCGACCATAGAGCCCAAAGAGACAAAGTGTGATGCTTATGGAAGCACGTAGCCGCCGTCGATGAGGACATCGCTCCCGGTCATGTAGGTTGATGCATCGCTAGCAAGATACAGATACAAAGCCTTGATTTCCTTCACATGGCCTTGCCTTCCAAGTGCCGCCATTCGATACGCCTCATTGATAGCTAGAGGGTTGGCGCCCATCTTGGTGTCGAAGAATCCGGGCGACACTATGTTGACTCTGGCAAATTCTCGCCATTCACGGGCTAGAGACTTTCCGAAATGCGTAACAAAGGCTTTGGTGGCGTTGTACACTGGTTGATCAACAGGCACGTTGACAATGTGGCCGCTCATGCTGGATGTGATAATAAGGTTGCCGAAGCCCTGACTCTTGAAGACCTCACCAGCGTACTTGGAGCAGAACACGACGCCGTCCACTGCTTGAGTAGTAAGCATGAAGTTCCAATGTTTGACCTTGGAAAGAGAACCGGTTTACAGACCATTTACAGACATCTGCTTTTGATACTCCTCTAATGTTTGCTCTAGGATTGGTCGTGAGATTGCCATACCTGGAGAAGTGTCAGCATCAATGCATCTCACGGTAATATAAGCACTTATAACTCACCCGCGTTTGCAACAAAAACATCAATCTTGCCGAAATCTTCGACTACCTTGGCGATGCTTCTGCTCACTTGCTCGGCTTGGGAGACTAGAAAAGAGATTAGCACCAATTAGAAACTTCGGTAGCAGATACATAAATATGTACCATCGACCTGATATGCGGCAGCTTTGATCTTATAAGCCTCGCCAAGGCTCTTTGCTTTCTCGATTGCCGCATCATTCCTTAGAATCGGTTATGAGTCCACTGCATTGTAAATGGAGATAACAGTCTCTGGGAATTCAACGCACGAATTATACCACAGAGCAACGTTTGCGCCCGCCTCTGCCATAGCCTCAGTCACAGCGAGACCAATACCATCCGCTGCTCCAGTAACAATCACGACCTTGTCTCTCATTTGGAACTGTTCAAGAACATTCTCAGGCGTCTCGGGGACCGACCGCGGGAACCCGGGTCGGACCTTGGTACAGTCTTCGGTTGTCATAGACATATTGAAGGAGTTGATATGAGTGAATCTAAACCATCTCATGCCATGAAGCAACCCCTCAACAACACTTAAATACAGCATTCGGAAGACCCACCCCGCTCCGGGTGGCTGTGGGCCGATCGACGGACAGATCGAAGCTAGACTCGACAGTTGCTGGATATCGGCAGAGATGACTTCTTCATCATCCATAGTACACAATAACCAGCATTTGTTGCGACAACTCATGGATAAACACATTATTCATAGTGATGGGACTTTATAAAGCGATTTATTATTGTATATTGGAAGTATATATATGTATACACGACAGTCAAGAGCGACTTTAACTTGAAACATCTCCACAACTTGTATTTCAGCTAACCACGAGCATCACAGTAATCCAATTACTCCGAGGTAACTAGCTATGAATCACCTCTAGTCTTGCTTTTCCGGCCCACAGCGTCCACATCCACACGCCGACTACTATCAGAACATCGACAAAGCTAAACACAAGGCTGCCTCCGAATATGAGACTATGATATGTCCATGCATTTTTCTCATCCAAATGGACAACTTGACACACTATCGCCCATGGTAGAACATATAACAAGTTGCTCGCTAAGCTCTGATACAGATACCATTTGGGTCTGGTGGCCTGCAAAATGGTCGCAAGCTGTGTCGACATTGCATAAAAGATGTAGCACCAGTCAATAGTCCGCCACATGTGCGCAGTAACATCAGCCACTTCGCTTGATCCACTGATATAGAGTGCAAAGGGCCGGGCGCCAAAGGTCGAAAGAAAGATGGCGATGGGAACTTCGACGAGCAGAGCAATCGCCAGTGACCGCAGTGATGGGCTAATGAGACTGAAGATTTCTTTCCAGCCTGCCTTTGGCCTTCGGTTGTTGACTCCGATTAGCTGGCGCCATTGTCCCCATTTATGGCCGATGAATTGAAGGGATGTTGCTTCGAGGGCTTGTACAGGAACCATTACCAGTCCCCAGCGGATGGTGTTGAAGACCCCCCAGGCGGTGGCGTAAACCGTTCCTAAAGAAACAACGGTAGTGACTAGCCAAAGATATAATGCATTTCTGATGGCTGACTCGGCGAAGAAGATGAGCCCAGGCTGTAGTAAAACCCGTAGTCCTCGGAGTGTTGGGGAAAGGGCGCTGTTGCTCCTTGTAATGTGGCCGTCGAGTGGGAACTGGTGTTGTTTTCGCCATGTAGAAAAGCTTACAAAATAGAGGAAGTAGGCCAATCCAGCCAATGCAGCAGTCAGGTTACAGACCAACTGAATGATGCCTTGCATGTTGACTGTTGGTTCGAACGATCCAACATGATAGCGAGAGATGATTAATAGGTCTAGGATTATGTTGACGGCAAACTTGATGGAGCTGATGACTAGCGGCACATCAGGCTTATCCAAGGCTCTCGTTGCCGACGCGACAGCTGTCTCAATCGCACCACTCAACACCGTGAAAGAAGTGATGCGCACATATGTCAAGCTCGCGGCGCGCACTTCCTCTGGCACAAAGCTGTCGGCAAACTTTGGCGCAGCGCCGAGGAATATTATGCTCAGGACAGACCCCACTACAGACTGAAATGCGATCAGAGTATGGGTCAGCTGGAGGCGTTCGGTAAGACCTCGAGAGGCCTCGTCTCCAATAATCACCCAGGCGGCTCTTGGGAGACCTTCGTTGACCGCTTCGGAAGCGGTGTTCATGTAGGTGAAGGCGTCTGTTGTTACGACCATTGAGGAATCGATGTTGGCGACCCAGAGTTTAGATAGGGTTCCGTAGAGGGCAGGAAGGATGAAGGCCGCTACGTTGAAAAGAAGTGAGCCATAATAGCGATCACGACGTAAGGCCTTCTTCCAAGAGTTGCTCTCAATAACAAGGGGCCTGGAGTTTGTGGGATCTGAGAAGTTTAACGCATCGGCCTCATGGCCTTCGGGTGTGTTGTCTCGACTCGAGCTAGACATTTTCATCTCAATTTTGGAGCAATTCAGCCACGATTTGGGAATGTATAGACAAGTACCATGAAGATGAATGCCAGGCAAAGCTTAACATTGGTGAAGAAGATGGAATCTGATTCTCCATTACATCTCGGCGTTTGTGCCTTTTTATATTTACGTGTACGATAGTATATCGCGCGGGGTAACATCGAGGTTTATGAGTAGTCGCATCGACATATTGAGTTTCTCTTTGATGGTGGCGTCGATGTGCTCCCATTTCGAGACTGATTGGTCGGACAAAGCTGAATCGCCTGCAATCGGTTTGTAGGCCGCCCACGCTATGGATGCGGGAGCCATCCGATTGCGGCCTAGACTCTTGGCTTTAAACACCAGACGTTTGTGGGGGAATCTCATGATTTGTTTACTTTCTTCATCGGGAGGCTGTGGCTTGGTTGCTTCATGGTGCGCCTCTAGCCTAATATTGCTGCTGAATCAGAGCTAATTGATCAGCTGGTGTGAGTAGACTTGAACGAACGGATGATTCAGATACGCTTCAGTCTTCTAACGAGGTGGAAATGAGGTACTTGTAGGGAGCCAAACTTCGAGCTGATACCATTAGACGCCAAAGTCTGCGGGGAATTGGACGACGCCTAACTTTGATTAGGCATTTAACGGAATAGGCCCCTAGATTATTTTATTCGAGGGCAGTGCTTGCGGATAGACTCAAAGAATCGGCTGCATTTATTACATGTATCTTTCATGATATTGCACTGGTAACCGTTGTTACGTTTTTTCGAACGGGTACATACAGCAGGGCCCCCGACAAAACAGCCGCATTTCTCTACCCACCAAGTATTTTGTTCCTGGAACAATGGAATTGCAGGCTCTCTATTCATCTCTGCCTCTCAAGGATGGAGAAATTCGTCTTTTGACCATCCTTCCAGACGAATGGGCTGCTGATATCCGCTGCAAGATCAGCGTCGTCTCCCTCGACGATACCCCGGAATATGTCGCTCTCTCATATGTCTGGGGAGGGCCTCTCCAGGATGGTACTTTGCATATCAATGACCATGAGCAACGCATCGGACGCAGTTTAGAGACCGCCCTTCGCTACTATCGTCGCACTGGATGGAGCATGCCGCTTTGGGCTGACGCTGTCTGCATTAACCAGGCCGATGTCGCAGAGCGCTCTTCTCAAGTTTCTGTTATGGATCTTATTTACTCTTCTGCTATCACAGTATTCGTCGTTCTTGGATCTGGCATCGATTTAGCTGCTGACGACTACTTTCAAAAAGTGAAAGCGCTGCACAACTTTCGCTTTAGCATTCATGGCCAAAAGCATTTTGAAGCGTATTTACCTCCTCAATGGGATATCGGTGACTCTGGAGTAACATTGGAGAACGATGAAAAGAGTTTGATCCTTTTTTCCTTCCTAGAAAGGGCTATTAGCTTAAAGATCAACGACCACCTGGGTACTGTGCCTCAATGGGGAGGGACATTTGATGGGTCAGAAGACTCGCAATATCCTTGGCAGACTCTGATCCAGACGTTTGAAGAATTCACCCAAGAACCGTGGTGGGATCGCGTATGGACTCTACAAGAGAGCGTGGTTGGATTTTCGCCCATCTTCATCTATCGAACGGCCGCAGCTCCGTGGGATATGATAAAGGAGGCAGCCATCGGCATACGTGTTCACATAACCGATTGCTGTACCCCATATTTAACCAACGACGCTCCGCCGAGATATGCTTCTGCTGTGAAGCGTCTGCTTTTTCATGTTGACAGCATTGAAAAGACGCGTCAAATCTACTCAAAACTTCGATATGGAGCCAAAGCTGACCAGTCTGTTCTGACATCGCTCTTACCGAGAAGAGACTTTGAGGGGTCAGTAGCGGCTGAGATTACTGGGAGCCTTGATTCATACCTACTCTACAGGTATCTCTGCTTGTATAATAGACGAGACGCCACCGATATTCGGGATAAAGTCTATGCTCTTCTGTCTCTTATCAAACTTGGAAATAATCACTCCTTTATCTATCCCGACTACGGTAGGGGATTAGAAGATGTCTACATCAATACAGCAAGGATGATTGTTCAAGAGTCTGGCTCGCTCGACCTCCTGTCAGCAGCCGGACGGCTGCGGAACGACAACTTCCCCTCATGGGTACCAGATTGGTCTATAAGGAACGAGTTTTATGAAGATGAAACTCAGATCAATGCACTGTTAATGTATGATGCTACTTTTGGAACAAAACCATCGGTCTGGTTTCCTGAAAATAACAATACCCTACTCCAGGTGGAAGGCGTTATTTTAGACAATATCGGATCTCTTGGTCAAAGGGTCCCAGAAGGACCTAGTGATGAGGCCCTGTGGCAAGCAATCTTTCAGTGGATGCAACTGGCTCATAATAATTCCCCAAACACGAAATGGGCGGACTTTTGCAGGACTATCTGTACCGACTTGACCATATGGCCTGCGGACCAGGTTTTCCGTCGCATGGGTCCTCTGACTAAAGAAATGAGCCAATCCATTATGCCTTGGCGAGAGCCAGTCTCTGGTAGATATAGCAGAGATATGCCCCCAGAACAGCTTATACAGCCATCAGTAGAGCAAATGAAGGCTTGGTTTTCGGTGTGGCATATGATCCTAGGGGGACAGGCGGCGCAAGGGATGAGATCTATGGCACCGCCCCCGAGGATGGAAGACTTTTTAAAACTCACCACTGCTTTCAAAAAGTTTGCGGTGTCATCCGAGGGGCATATTGGGCTCGTCCCCAATAACTCAGAAACGGGAGATTGCATTATCTTCTTCAAAGGGTGTTGTTTCCCTTGTGTAGTGAGACCAGTTGTTAACAACACGAACGGGTTCAGGGTTGTGGGCGATTGTTATATTGACGGCTTCATGGATGGCCAGATTAAAGACTTCATGACGTGGCAGACATCCGGGGGCGATTATAATTGGGAGCCCATCATTTTATGCTAACATAATAGCTTAACGTGAAGAGTATAGCGGTATTTAATAAAAAATGTCATTGTGTTAAAATTTCTGTAGTTAAATATGTATTATCTACATCCTAGGATCCTCCGATAGAGTCCTCTTAACATGTCAACTAGAAGGCTGCAATCAAATTGATCTTATGCCCACATGTAAGCACACACACACATCTACACACAAAGCGAGGCAAGTTGTCATTGATCAGTTCTTTAATATGTCGATTGATAATTCTAATGCTGCTAATAATTTTCAATTTTAGGGATAGTCGCATGCTTAAATTCTAGTACCTTTAATATGGAGTGGTATTTCATCTCATGAGCGCGCTCGAAATGGCCATCTTCAGCCATGACATATAGGAAGAACATGGCTGCCCGTGGCTCTGTGAACATTTATACTAGGCACCTACCTACCTAATAATAACTGAAAGGACAGAAGTTTTGCTTTATTACCTACATGTAGGTAGGTACTCATGCATCAGATAGGTACCTACCCATGTAGTTTTAGTACTGCATACCTAGTAGGTATTTGCGGCATTGACGAGAGACGAGTATTTAGACGAGCACAAGTACCTAGCTTTCTTATACTTGATTCCAAATTTAAGTAAGCTCAGATATATTTAGCTTTCTAGAATCTCAATCACGGCCTCATTCAGAGTCAGAGTCAGAAAATGACGAGGAATAGTCAGTGTAAGACGAGTAGCTATCAGAATAGCGGGAAGGAGTTCGAGTAGAGCAAGACTCTATTGACATAGGTCCATTCTCTGCCCAAATTTGCTGCCCTTGCAAGCCGATTTCCAACAAGACGTCCTGTCCAACATAACCAAGAAGATATTGTGATATTTCATGCCCCCTCGTTCTCCAAGGTGCCGGATGATATGTTAGTCTTGGAGGCGGACTTATTGAAAGAATATTTGCATCTGCAAGGACTTCTTCAATCAAGTATCGTATTAATTGCATAGCATCACCTGAGTCAGAAGCAAGAGCGGCTGCCAGGGCGCTGCCGTATCTGCCGTGTTTCAGTGGCATATTCACGTCTGCCCCATGGTCAATCAAATACTTGCAAATTCTTGTGTAACCTCCACGTGCTGCTGCGGCCAGGGCATTACCGTATTTGCCAAACCTTAGCGACATGTTGACGTTTGCTTCATGTTGAATCAAGTACTGGCATATGCCTTTGTTACCTTGACGTACCGCCGCTGCAAGGGCGCTGCCATACCTCCCACACTCAAGAGCAGCATTAACATCTGCCCCATGGTCAACCAAGAGTTTGCAGATATCGCCACTAGTCCCTCGGGTTGCTGCCGCCGCCAAGGCACTGCCATACCTGCCACATTTCAGAAGGGCATTCGCATCAGCTCCATGGTCGAGCAGCAACTGACAAAAGTCTTTGTGGCCTCCACGTGCTGCTGCCGCCAGGGCGCTGCCATAGCTTCCGGTCTCACTTAGGAGCATCGCGTCTGCGCCATTTTTGAGTAGGAGCTTCCCAGTCACGATGTATCCTTTACGCGCCGCCTTTTCCAAGGCGTAGGCATACCTGCATAGTGATCCGCATGGACAGTTAGGATCGGCATTGGCACCTAACAGAATTTCACTCATACCGTAGCTTATACTAGCGCATAGAGCGGAAGGGCCATTTCGAGGAAGATTTGGATCTGCTCCTTGGCTGATGAGAAATCTCACTATGTCGTTATGTCCTCCACCCACTGCATTGGTTAATGCACTAGAGTCGTTTGGATAGGTATCGAGCTGCCTGTTCACATCTGATCCGAGTTCTATGAGTTTCTCACAGATATTCAGATGACAATGATATGCGGCGATTGAAAGCAAATCCATTTTTCTCTCATTGGTAGACAATATGTCTATACCAGATACCCAGTAGTCTCCCAGGAGATGATAAAAGCCCAAGCCACAGATGCCGAAGGCGGGGTTTTCAATTGGGTAAAATAAATCAAGATGGCCATTGGTCTTTGAGTTCATATATTTGACCCAAGATCGGTATTTTTGGTTACTCTGTTGAAGAGGCTTGTCGATTCCCAGAAATCGTCTCAGCAGCTTTGATACCTCGGCTTCATGTAGTTCCAGCTTCTCAAGTTTTGAAATATGCTTGAACCAGTTGCTCAACACGTATTTTCTTATATTTCCCCCATGGTTGTGATGTTTATGAGACTGATTTTTGCGAGAATCGTCGGATAGTTCATCATCGTGCTCACTGGTCACTTCTGATATCCATTTGGTAGTATCATCACTCAGAAGATATATCAGACAGGATTTAGCAACGAATGAATGCGCTCGTTCAAAATTCCATTGATGTACTTCTTCAAAATACTCAATTACCGAAGCATGGGGGAACTTCCACTCACCCCGCTTTGAATCCTTGACAATCAGATTGCTGCAGATGTCCAAAAGCGTTTCCTCAGCAATCCTGGGATCTATACTGAGTGTTTTCCCATCACTGCCCTCAGAAAGCCGAACAGCATCCGAGAATTTCATCGGTTGTTAGATACCTCTTGGCGCACATTACCTATTTTACGGCGCGCTCTAAAATCTCTCGGTTGCCATCTTTTTCCACCCTCTGAAAGATTTCTTCATAGGAAGCGTTCAAATTTTTGGGAAGCTTTCCAAGTCGTTCTTTAAGCTTGTTTGCTAGGCTGAGCTTGGATAGTTGGTCCATCTGTAGATCAGCCCATCTGAACCTGCTTCAGTTAGTTGTGTACGATCATGCACGGATACAACCTGAGCAACTCACATCCCCTCACTTTTCTCGCACACTGTCCTTCTGATTTCGTTTTCAAGATCCCTGGGGACGGAAGTCCATTTCCAAGTCCTTTTAATTTTTTCAATCCGGGACTCGACAAACGTTTCTATATCTTCCTCATTATCATGGGCGTCAACCTCTAGAGTAACATCGGATGGGAGTTGCTTCGCAATATCTTGCTCTTTCCGGCTTGAAATAAAAAGCTTGACGGAATTCTTGGCAAGCATAGTAAGCTCAGCTAATATCTCAATGAGCTCTCCTCTTGTGTCTGGATTGCATTCGTCTAAACCATCAAGGACAAGTATTGTCTTGGGGTAAAGGTTGACCGACTCAAATAATTGCTCTTTGCAAACTTTTATGCCCAGCTTAACCCCTTGTTTCCTGCTCTCTTGGTAGAGCCCAATGAGTTTCTTTTGCATGAGGTTCGGATAACAAGGGACCATAGAGAGCTGTCGCACATAGCTGCGGAGTACTGAGATAGGCTCCCTCAGATCGGCAGAGCCACGTTCGCAGTAGAAGTAAGCAAACCCTTGATTATTCTTGCGATTGGGAGCATGAGATATTGCATCATCAACACGAAACTGGTCAATGACAGTGGACGCGAGAAACGATTTTCCCATGCCCACTGATAAAATCAGAACACACAACATAGAAACATTCCTTTCTCTGTGTTTACTCACCGGTACCTTGAAGCCATAAAATACTTGATCCATCGGCCTGCTCCCATTCTTTAAACTTCGAGTTCTCTAATAGCCACATTCCCGTCCATGGAGTTCGCATTTCGACTTTTTTCTGGTGTTGTTCCCCGAACTTGACATCACTAAAGTAGTCGAGAGCTTCGAGCATTTGTTGAGATTCCATCTTATCAAAAAGATGACGCATTTTGTCATCTATCTGATCAATAGAGGTGTGAATTTCTAATAGTAATTCGGTGTGTCTCGCATCTGCATTAGCACTGCGTGCCATTTCACAGCACTCAGCCGCCCAAACCAGGTCTGTTTCGCGTTGAATCAACTCTGCCATCAGAAATTCAGCGCCATCAGGATTCGAAATCCATTCAAGGATTTGACGATACTTGTTTTTCAAATGTCGGGCAGCATACGCAAGCAGGTCCAACGATTTAGCATATGTTGTTATAAGTCCGTCTTCCAAATCCTGCAATAACTCGGGAGTAGTATTGTCTTTCGTGAACACGACTTCATATAGCTTTCCACGCCTAAGTATGCTAAGGATCTTGGCAGTAGATGCTAATATAGCAGTAGTTTCCCCAATCCCTGTGACCGGAAGCTGAATTCCGTCAGCCCTGCGTTTACCAACGCCGAAAAATGAGCATCTGTGAACACATACTTGCAGAAGAACTTTTATGGCCGACCACATCATACCAGATGGAGCTGGGACCAGCTGAGTCGCAATATCGCCAATCATTGTAAGGCATTGAATAGTAGGGGCTACATAGTCCCTGGGAGCAATCTCCTTTTGCCCTACGGTTATCCGGAGAGAGCTTTCTTGATACTTCTTTTCCAATGCTTTGAGAACTTCGACGATTTCTTCTACCCACGATTCGTCGCGTTTGTTGATGCCTTGTAATTTGGTCAATTCTGGTAAGCTCTCAAGCCATTTTCTAGTTTCGGGAGCAGCAGCGTCGTAGGCTTTCAACCATATATTAGATCTTTCAATGGCATCTGTTCCTTTATCATTTACCAAACCACTCTCGCGAACATTCGTGACAGAGGAAATCGGCGTTGGAGGATCGAGTGTCGTCTTAATAGCGAGTTCTGTAGCTGGCGAAACCGTAGACGAGTTGGGGGGGGATTAGATTTCTGTTGCCAGTTGATTCCGCCCTTATATCATTTCCTGATGACTGCCAATGGAGAAGACCTTTGAGTTTGGCTGGAGCACGGGATCTAAAGCTGGTTGAAGAACGCGCGTCGTTCGGTTGCTTGGTGTGTTTAGAACCCATGGCGCTGCTGTCGCATTGTCAAGGCGCAAGGATTGGCGCAGGCTGATATGACGGACGAATATTCAATCCCAATATGTAAGCGGCTGAAAATACCCTGTGTAGATGCCATGGATGCCCAACAATTTGTTGGGCCTCACCGAGATCATTATACACAGGTACCTATACAAATACGATCACCTGACAGACTGTATTAGGTTGGAAGGTACATATTTTCTGCCCTATCAAATCCAGCTATCGAGGCTTGGTAAGAACCCCCGCACACCACAGGAGGGTATACACGCTCGAATATCCATCAATCGAACGATGTATCTCTGAAACCAGCTAGGATTGCTCCAAGTATGCTGTCAACTTGATCATTGTGAAAACTTACTGCTTACAATTAGAAACTATGTAATGCAACATACATATGTATAATCGGAATATTCCCGATGTCGATGACCGCCGGTACAGAAAATATACTAATAATCAAGACAAAGATGACGACAGCAGAACAATATGCATCGCCTTTAACAGTCATAAACACACTATTTGCCAATCTGGAGCTAGTTTATAAGTATAATATAATGAGTGGATTTGAAATGTGGCGATAAAGAGCCTATTCTGTACAGCATACATGCATATTAATGTAGCTGTTTCATCTCATAACCGTTTCATCTCAGCTGCTACTTCATTCTCAAATAACTCTATGCAAAAAGCAACAGAAAGCAACGATAGTCGTAAAAACTAGTAGAAAGTACCTATTTATATGGAAGAAAACTTGCGTACCACTAACGTAGTAGAAGCAGGTAGGTATTTAGGATTGGTATGCGATGATACAGTGGCTATACCTGCGGCTAATCCAGGGTCAAGTGATATGAAACCCCCCCAACGCTCAAATTCGTATCAGTCAGGAAATATTACGAGTTTGACTGTGTAATATAACCGTCGTCATAACTGTCGCTGTCTTTTTAGAATGGATAGTGGCGATCTTTTTGTGCTGGCTGAGCATTCTTCATGCGGTGACGGTTCGGCGGCATTTTGTACTGATTGCATGTGTCTTGTGTAAGGGCTCAGGACCCATCACCGGTGTCTTCACAGTTATGCTCTTACTTACCCACGTATCATCATAATGCTGGCGCAGGACGTTGCGGTCAACAATAGAGGGCCATGCATCCATGGTACATGCAATTGCAATGCTAATGTGCCATCGTAGGGCGCAAAGGCACAGATCTGCTGCGTGGTGGCTCAGCGGCACAACGCCATTCCCCGCTGACCATCTGTGTTGCCATCCTTCCCGCAGCCGACGCGGGTCAAGCTCGACAATTAATTGTGTTTAAAGTCTTCAGGATTCTGGTAACGGTGACAGTACTACTAAGGAACAAATTACAGGCAGCTTGCAGAGTTAGAGCAGCAGCGGGATTATTGCATCACGAGCCCATTACAGCACGTCGACGAACCGCGATAAAGTAAGAGAGTAGGCAAAGTCGGGTGCGATCTCCATGACTGGCAGAGCCAGGATGTTTAGAAATAGTAGACTTCTTGTATAGGGTTAGAATCTTCGTAAGGAAAATATGAACTAGATTTAAAAGAAATGAAAATATATATATACCTAGATAGGTATCAATATCCCGTATATCCAGCTACATAACTTCTCATCGTACGTTCTGAGGAGGGTTTTTGTATGACCTGCGCATTTATGCCGTATAGGGCTCATTTTGACAGCAAGTTTCCAACAAAGGCGCTAAGGCGGGTTGGTGGAGTGGTCTAACACGTGCGACTCAAGATAATATCTTGATCCTTCAAAAGGATTTCGCATCTCGCGAGAGGCGTGGGTTCGAATCCCACACCCGTCAGTCTTTCTTTTTTGCTAATTTTTGCATCACCATCTATTTGCATGTAAGCTGTATTTGCGAAGTTGAAGGCCTGGTTCCCGCCTCTTCAATCCTTTCGCGTTATAATCGTCCCTCTCTTTGTCGGGTTTGTATGAGGTAGGCCTGCGGGTGGTGTGCTTGTAAGCAACATGTTCCCAAGGCCTTGGGGAACATTAAATTCTCCATCGCTAGTTCAACATATGAGTTATCATCTTGTTGTATCCTCGTAATATTTCAAATCACTTGCAAACAGAGAGTTGACGACAACTATTCTGACTTATAAAAAATGGGACTCTCATCAATGAGAAGAAGGCAACAGGGTATGGGACTGAGGAGATTGGAGCGTCTCCTGCGTGGTACGTTTGGAAACTGATTGCATTGGTAGTGACTGTTTTAAATGTAAATGCAAGGCGTATTATAACCTGTAATATAGCATCCTCCTAGTTTTTGGAGAAAGTTGAGAGACAGAAACTGAAGTGAGATAGAAGGCACGTTTAATACGTGATAAATGTCACGAATATTTTGTTAAAGAAAATTATTCACACGCAAAATATTTATTATAAGCACATTGGGTATTCCTCAATGCTCACGCAGTCGTTATATGGCAAAATCGCTATAAATCACCTGTTACCTTCACCCGGCGGCTCTCAGCGAATTTGTAAAGCATATTCCAGCTCTTACACTCATGTACAGTGCACCAGCCATCAATATCTAGCTTGGATTCTCCATTTTCGTCGACCACGACCTTCTCTAGAGTTGTATCCCCCGTACACATTATAGCCTGACGGAGATATTCGAAGCAGTGATTTAGATGGTGGTCATCAAAAAGTTTTGTCCGAAAGGCGGTCCTAATTGCCACCTTTTTATTGTTGTGATTAAGTAAATATTCTTCTATGAGTAAGCTGGCTGGCGACTTACTAGGCAGCGTATTTGGTGAAACATTGATATACCGTATCCTTCTCGCACAATTCCATCATCGTCATCGCCTTCCAAAGGAAGCCCACCAGAAAGACCATATTTTTCTGGTTCTGGAATGACAATGAACCCGCCTCCTCCTACGCCAAATGAAATGGTTAATAAATTTTTGTGCAAAGAATAAAGAAGGGCTGAAATGAGACGGAGATTATGTGTTTGCCAAGAAATAACATACGAGGTTGAAGCGCATCCCAGAGTGTCAGATTGTCTGATTCCGAAGCCAAAGAGTCTGGAAATATATCGCTATATGTCTGAATTGGTGTGAAGAGAACTTGCTCCCTTGGAACTGCGCTTCAATCAACAATAGCTAAGCATGTTGAAGAACTCAACTCACTGTTACCAAAGACAGCATCAGTTCTCAGTGTCCAACATTTCTCAGTGGTACTAAAAGCTTTGAATAGAAAACCAACTATGAAACATAGAACTGTGATGATGTAGACAATGCCTAATACATAGGACCGCTGCTCCCATTGAGCGGATGCGTTATCGAAATCAGCCTCTGACGATGCAATGTGTTGATATTTTGGGGCCGAATTATTGTTGTTCAATCGAAACCAACGCGACCGATGCATAATGCTTTGGAAAGGTGAATTACGATTTGGAACCTGACCATTGGAAAAACGGAACGAGAAGCGGCGAGATAAGGAATATGCATTCGTCTATAGGACGGTGTAGGACTGCTGGTTAGAACATTTCACGAGTGGCTACGTGGGGCGGCGCAAGGAACGGACGCAGATCCACCATCCTAATAGCGATTGTAACTCTTCGTTGGTGACCAAGTTACGATTTGGGGGCGGTAGGATATGTATCATTGGGGCATAAAAATAAAGCAGAGTGTCGGTAGTACAACCAGATGGATCGAGATGGATGATTGTAATCTGGAGTGGTGGGGAGGCGGTCGGCTCATCGGCTTGTGAGCTGGCACAAGGATTGAGGATCACATTCACTTCCTTAGCAAGCTTTGCGCGGACTGATGGTGAACTTTTGATTCAGAGTGGGGTCTCTGGTCACCGCTGAGGAGGCTGGATATGCGTAGGACCATCAAATCCACTCTGTTGGTCGTCGCCCAAATTCGCTCTCAGTACCAACGGCTGGAAACGGGCATGTTCACGGAATACGCGGCACATCTCCGAATTAGGATTTCGCTACTCAACTACTATGTACTCTCCACTAACTTGCAAACCGAGCTGCAAATAGGCGCAGCGGGAGGAAATGCGTGTAGCGACCTGGGACGGTGCAAAGTCGTGAGAGGGAACTGAATCGATGGTTAGCAATAGCCAATTCCCGTAATCTGTACCTCTGGGCTGAGCTTCTGGTAAACGGCAGGATCTCAATCAGAGGATAAAAGGCGTAGTTCCCCTTGAATCTGGCTCTCATCTTTGACCAGACACTAAGAATTTTCCCAGTTGCACTCTTCTTCTATCTTTCCTACGCTTCTGCTCACCCATCTGCAACCATGTTATTCACCAATATCATCGCCAGTGCTCTTTTCATTGGAAGCAGTCTTGCTGCTCCCCATTCGCTCAATAGCATTGAGGTAATATTCAAATCAGAATAAATCAGAAATGAATACACAACTAACTGAATTGGCAAAGCCCGTTCAAATGTCTCCGCGAGAGTACTGGGCCTTCGCTATTAAACTCCGCGATGGCTCTGTAAAGGAGAAGCGCGCACCTGAAGCTGACATTGCCGCTCGTGAGTACTGGGCTTTTGCAATTAAGCTCCGCGATGGCGTCACTGCCAAACGTGCTATTCTAGAATCACAATGCGAGCAGGCAGAGGAGGGAATTTATTGCACCTACACAAGTGCAGATATCGAGGCATACGGCAGGGACTCTAAGCTACAGGAGGGCTGCGTCACTACCGATACGGGAGTCTCATGTTTCTATCCTGGAGCAACTCCTGAAGATGCTGTAGGTTTATCTTTGCTTGTCAAGACATTGTAATCATCTACTAACTCGTAAGAAGTGAAACGTAGGCATCATGCTGAGGATATAGGGGACTCCAAAAGCTGTCAGTTGGCGCAGCTAGAATCGGGATGAGAGATGGACTTCTTTGGGAGAAAGCGCTGCACATTCATGTATTTGCCTGCCATTAAGTAAATGCCTAACTGGATAGACAATTTGTTGTCAATCACAATTACGTACAGGTAGTTAGCAGATCAAATTAAAGAGGAGAGGGATCAACCTTTAAGCTTCAGCACAATTGCATTCTTTCGAGGTTCAAAGACGAAACCATGGATACATATTAACGCCACCTGCCACCAGAGTTTGTTTCCGCATCTATTTTTAGATTTTCCGCTATAATTGTGTTCTCAATTCTGGTGATTGGAATAAAGCTACTGCGTGTTGGTTCAAAAAATGTCACTATTCAAAAGGTCTATCCGTGCTACCCAATGTGATAGCTCCTATTAAGCTAGTTCCACGTTTCAGAACTCGCAGACGCCATAAAATTAGCCGTATATGTTACATCGCGCTATCGACATAGAAGGCAGGCTAGCAATAGGTGTAGGATTGATCCCTTTCCCCGCACCCAACAGACCCAGTCAACCCGCCGAGTACATCTAACAACATTGTCGTTGTAGGTTAAAAAGCACAAAGAGGTCTCAAATATGCGGTTCGCTCTTGGCACGCCAACCTATCACTCTAAGGCTTGCACACTCCCTCCTACCGCTTATCACCTTTGACATACAGCTTGGCATACACGGCACTACGCACAATTATAATTTAAATCATGCAGTTTGGAGGCGTGCTAGTTTTTGGATGCTCAGATGAGTTAGCGAACTCGTAAGATTCTACACAAATCTTCTTTTCCGCCTTTCAAGCTAATGATTATAGTGGTTTGAAAGCCGACGAAAGAGCAATCGCAGCACAGGAAGTCCCCGTGGCAACAGTCTCCACTGGATTAGCTATACGAAACGAAGAACGCCCTGTGGAAATTATTGCAACAGCGTCCGAATCTCTTATCAAGGAGGTTGATGATGCAATTAGCAACATGGATTGTAAAGTGGTCAAGATTGGTTAGCAGCAATGACCTCTACAAACGACAAAACGGCGAGAACCTAATATCCATGATTATAGGGGCCTTATTTTCTGAAGAGTCTATCGGAATTGTATCCAGAAGCTTACAACAAAGGGCACAATTACTGCAAGTTTTGGATGTTGAGCCATTCTTCAAAACAGGCCCTGCTCCAAAGCAAGAAGTGATTACAGCGCTCAGGAAAGAAATACTTCCATCAATAAAAATCCTTTCCGCAACAGTTCCAGAAGTCAAAGCACTGCTAGATGAGGCCGGTATCGCTATCGACTATCCAAAAAGTATACAGGATGTACAGTCAATGGCAAACACCTTAAGAAGCTTAGGACCTGAGTACGTTATTATAAAGAGAGAGATCTTCGAAGAGAGTGATGGAATGACGACACTGCATTTTGTTCTGTGCGGCGGCGAAGAGCCCCTAACATTGACTTCTCGTTTTGAGAACCCAAAACGACTGTTTGGAGCAAGTTATTCTATCCCTCGTAAGTAATCAGAGCTGACCTGCTATGTCTCGAACAATATAAGTTAATCAGATTATAGCGGCAATTGCAGCACACTTGGCTAAAGGATACTGTGTTCCGGAAGCAGTGTCTGCAAGCTTTAAGTTTGTCGAGGAGATGCTCAAGGGAGGGCAATATTTTATCTGACAAGTTTTTTAATTTTTAATTTTGACACTTCGATAGAATTGTTTGGCTTGATATTCTTGTTCGTTTGTCAAGTATTTCTATATATCCACTGTGAAATAATTCATGTCCACAACTATTTTCAGAGTACTTTTCATACGCCTTTGACTTCTATCTTCTAAGAGAGGAGTCACAAAGTCACCATCAAATCTGCCACGCTCTACGTCACTGTTCCTGATTTGAGTAAATACAAATTCTTCATCTCAAGAAGTAGATAGAATGCAGAAACAGGCGCTGCGCTGAGCTGTGATAGCAATCTCGGAGACCTTCAGCTGTTCCAATTCTCTGCCAATGGAGGGACCGGACTTGATGCTGTGTGCAGCAGCAAAAAAGGCAATCCATCCTGGTATCTTACTGTGAAGACTATGGACAGAGGAGAGGCTTCGTTAATGCCAACGAATCTATTGGTTGTTATTGACTACGCACTCGCGGCTTGGAGAAGAGAATTGAGAGGAGCGAATTTGGGACAGAATGATGACATTTTTCGTTACCTTAAAAAATAGGGAAGCTTGCTTCTCACAGCAACACTCTTCACAATAACCGCTTCATTCCTACGCATAAAAAGACGACGTACGCATCCAAGTCCTTCGAATATTGCAAAACAGCAGCGAAACCATTGATTAAGATGTAATTGCCATGCTTAGATAACGCAAGATTAATCATTTTCATACGGCTCATCTAACATTTGCTTCAGCAATGACGATGAGGGATATAGCGACCCCTGCTAACGAGAACGTATTCAGCCAACGTTTCATGACTAAATATAATGCTACTACAATTACGAACCCCCATATGAGATCTGTATGAGAATTTTGGTGCTTCCTTTCTGGGGAGGCGGGGGGAGGGGTTAAGAGTTCAGAGACAGCCTGGTAACACCAATATCACCTTGTTTCTAGGGAGATTGTGTGACAGCTGTAACCACCCATCACAGCATGCCAAGGCAGCATTCCGATAGCCACGTCATGCTATCTAAGAGTACGGGGGTTTCCCTCCCTTTGACTAGTTATAAATTTGCCTACTGCATATAGCTACAAATCATATCGTGTTTCAACTTCATCGCCATCATGTTCAATATCCTTGTCGCTGGTATTATTGTTTTGATAGTTCTCATCTATCGTCAATACTCTCGAAAGAAGGATGCCTTGTTGAATCTTCCTCCGGGGCCAAAGCCTCTGCCCATCCTTGGTAATATCTTGGACCTTCCACCATCTGGGACTCCTGAGTTCCAGCATTGGCTAAAGTTCAAGGATCTCTATGGCCCAATCAGTTCCATAACAGTATTGGGCCAAACCATGGTCTTTCTCCACGATAAACAAGCAGCCTATGATATTCTGGGTAAAATGTCGTTAAAGACCTCCAGTCGCCCAAAGTCGGTTTTCGCATTCGAGCTGTGCGGCTTTCAGAATTTCACGTCAGGTAGACAATACGATGCGACCTTCCGGCTGCATCGAAAATTCATGCACCAACAGGCCGGCACAAAACTAGTTGCTGCACGGTTCAATGGTATTCAAGATGTAGAGTCGCGGCGCCTTTTGAAACGAATCCTAGGCAGTCCCAAGAGCCTCGTCAAGCATTTTGGAACGTGAGTTTGCACTTGGATCATTAACAGTTGAATAAGAATACAGCTAAGTAGATGTCCGATCGACAGCGAGGCGGCTGCTATTATCCTAAAAATCGTATATGGTTATTCCATCGACCCACACGTGAGCGATCCTTTGGCGGAATTGATCGAGAATATGATGGACAACTTTTCACAAGCTATGGTCCCATCACCAAGACTCGTTGACCTGATACCGGCTCTAAAGCATCTACCCGATGGGTTTCCAGGTACTGAGTTCAAAGAGACTGCCCGGCAATGGAACAAGGTCAACCACGACACGGTGAATATTCCTTACTCGTTCGTTGAGAGGCAAATGGCAAACGGCACTCATCGTCCATCATTCGTATCTGGTCTTATTGAGCGATACAGCAGTGAGAAATCGATAAATGGAAAAATAGACCGCAACAATGAGGATGCTATCAAGTGGGCAGCGGGGATCATGTACGGGGGAGGTGCGGACACGACTGTGTCAGCCCTGAGCGCCTTTACATTAGCCATTGTCCTATTTCCGGAAGTCCAGAAGAAGGCGCAAGAGGAAATCGACAACTTGATCGGCATGCATCCAAATAGACTTCCGCAATTCGATGATCAAGAACAACTGCCCTATACCTCGGCTGTTGCCAAGGAAGTTATACGATGGTACTCCGTTGTACCAATCAGCACGCCTCATTTGGCCGACGAGGAGATTACCTATGGCGGTTACCGGATTCCAAAAGGGTCATACCTGCTCCCCTCAATATGGTGGTTCAATCATGATCCGCAAACATACCCAGACCCATTCAGTTTCTCCCCGGAGAGGTTCCTCGAGCCACGGAATGAGCCTGATCCGAATGAGGTTTTCGGTTGGGGTCGCAGAATATGCCCTGGCCGGTACATTTCCGATGACAATCTCTTCATAACCATTGTGCGATTGTTGGCTACTTTCAACATCAGCAAGGCGGTAGATGAACAGGGGAGGCAGATGGAACCTAACGTGGAATATACGCCAGGGTTAATTTCCCGTCCGGTCAGCTTTCCTTTTAGTATTACTGTGAGGAGCAGTGAGCATGCAGAACTCATTGATTCAGTCGAAATGGACCACCCTTGGGAGAAAAGCGACGCTGAATTTCTTGAATTAGAGGACAACCTGACGACTCACGAATGAGCACATGAATCATGTGCTGCAACCTCTCTCAGGCATAACATTGATAACAGAGGAAAGAGAGCAAATTTGACCTACCTATTAGCCTAGCATAGTCGTAGATGCTCAAAATACTAATAGTTGATCCAACTATTCTTGATTCAACATCTCCTCCATGTTTGGTTAGGGCGGGTGTTCGTCTAGCACATACCTGTAGTTAAGAGCCATAGATACATGTATTAACGGGGGGCTATTACAGGCACCGTTAGCTAATCTCTACTAGTGTTGAGTCACGAAGGACCAGCCACGGCTCACTATGTAATCTCCTTAACCCCGGCATATCCCTGTCGAAGAGACCTCCAGTTTTGACACCACGTCCGGGTCATTATTGCCTACTAAATCTTAAATGTCTATTCTTCCTTGGACCCCTTTATGTGGCCTTACGCCTATTGACAACCATTTACCACTCCAGTGCACGTCTCTCTAAACCAAGTACAATGGTATTCCCAAGCCCCGGGTGCCAAACCTGCCGAAAACGCAAAGTCAAGGTAATTAATAAGCCGAAGCTGCTTCCACCATGGCAGCTCTAAAGATTGGCAATTAATAACACGAAACGTAGTGTGACTACACGAGGCCTCGGTGTCGGAAATGTTTGACTGGCGATAGGAAATGCACATGGGATTCGGACGAGCAGACGGGTTTGCACTTCAGAAGTGAGAATGCATTTGCTATGGGACTTCGTCGGCGTCCACCCAAAACAAGTGGCAACCCAGCTGTCCCGACTAATAGTATAAGCTCTGCATTTACGCAGGTATCGAATAGCAGCAGAGTTCAACCAGCGCTGTCGCTGCCACTAGAGATGCACGCGCTCTATTATTACGCAGACAGCGTTTCTATGGAAACACACATTCTAGGGGACCCTAGCCATGATTACGGTTTTCATGTGCTTCCTCACTGGGAATTGGCTAGTCCAGAGTCTTGTCTTCGTCTTGCGCTGACGGCTTATTCACATGCCGTCATCGGGCGGAACAGGGGCATAGAACAAGCTCTCAGCCTTGCCCAGAGAGTATACGCAATGACTGTGGAGAAGATTCAGAGGGCGATAGCGAGAATATCCGGCGATACGATCTATCAAGTGATTCTAGCCGTAATGCTAATGGGCAGCTACGAGAGTGTCATGTACTTCTCCAGAGAATCTACATCATCATTACCTCCTGATGCTGTCGGCTCTCGTTTCTGGGGGATCATCTGCCATGAGAAAGGCGCGGCCGCTCTTCTCATTGCACGCCGCGAGAGAGGCTTCGCGGCAAATACAGAGTTGGATAAGGCGATTCGAAAGAAGTGTGTAAGTAAATTGTGCAAAATGTGCCATAAGTATACGCTGACTTGCGGTTTATAAAGCTTCATATTATTATCCTTCGAGGAGGGCCAATTCTAGACTGTTTAAAAGATGGCAGGAGCTGGGGTGAAGACGGACATGAGTTGCAATTAGACTCGCTCATGATCCGCGTCTTGAGTTTGAGGCATAAATCAATGTGTTTCCTGAGAGATATGGATGCAGTAGAACCAGAAACAGTTGATAAGGCTAGGTCGATTGCGATGGAAGCATACACGTTAGACTATGATCTCGCTTCATGGCCCCTGGGGCTTCCACAGAACTGGGGGTTTCAAATCAGCCGGACACACTCACAACCGAGCTCGAACGTGGCTGATGCCAGTGTGGGCATTCCCACGCATAATTACCCTTCAATCTGCCATGCGACGATATGGAATCAATACCGTGCTCTTCGTCTAATCACAAACGCTATTCAGAAACGAGCTCTCGTCGCACTCCAGCCGCTTCTTGAAGGCTCTTTTCTCGACACGAATATAAAGAGGTGCCAGGATAACATTAACGACCTCGCTGTCGACTTGTGCAGTGGTATAAAGTTTTTAATCGCTTACCGTACTCCCAATAGAGGTTCAGAAGCTACCGCGTTACACCATATGCCTTATCCGAGCGTAGCTACATTGCTTGCATGGCCGTTGACAGTGGCTGTGAGCGTTGACGCCGTCCAGCCTCCAGAGAAGACTTGGCTGAAGAGTGCACTGAAGGTCGTTTCTCTCTCGTTGGGACATTCATTGCTTGAATCCGTCGCTGATCAGGGGGAGTTCAAGTTCTGATATTTACTGCGGTTTAGGATGACAAAAGTTGGCAATTTGAACAGTTCTTCTATTACGGAGCCGATTATGATGGAGCCAGAGGCTGAGAATATTTTCTCAACGATTGTATCTATGGTAAAAAATGGACGCAATATTTTAGACTTTTCATTGTATATAATTCTGTCTTGGAATATAAAGCGATCAGAACCGCTGGAGTCACTATTCACCGTTGCACATCCAGTGAATAACTATATTAGCAATATCTACCTTTGTCGATCTTTACTCTGATATCTTCAATAGATCATACTCCTGAATTGAGTTGAGGGTTAACCATCTAGAGGTTCTCGAGACCCAAATAAGTCTAGCAATCATGGGCTCGCTTTTCATGCCCGAGGCGTGCTCTGAGCTACGGACATGGCGGGAGTATCGGGTTTAAGCTGAAGATGTGTTCCATTATCCTACACTCGTATGCCCACGGGTGCCCATCTGGAAACCCGAGATTAAAGATTTGTAATCTTCTTCCACAAGCCTAGCAGAAGACTATGTTTCGACTTTTAGGTTCAACTTGCAGATGATGTGGGTATCTTCACGGCCTTGCATTGAGAGTTTTAGTGTCATTTGCTTCATTCCTCGGCACACCCTGGGAAGAAGCTAAACCCCCTTTGGATAAACGTGCGAGGTCTCCATAATCTCCTCTGAAGCTATCTGCAAGAGAATTGAGTAAGAGAAACGCATGAATTTCATGAAGTAACAGAGAAGGAATGGAAGTGCTATTAGACAACAGCCGGTAAGCTACAATTTCAAATTACTTTGCTACTGAATACATATTGAAGATAGATATGGCGGACTTATCGGAGGTTAAAACCTCTACATCGAAAGAGCAGTTGTCAAGAAGTGTATAAAAGCACTGAGCAAGATGGTTGCTAGATTTCCTGTAAGCCAACAATAGTATTCCATTACGCTCAAGGTTTATTTTCAAGCCTCCTTTATCTATATAATACCACTTGCTTAAAAAAAAAAAAGATCATCAATGGCTCCCTCACTCCCTCCAGCGCTCCAGCAGAGCCTAGACGAAACTCGGGTTGAGTATGTGAGGCTCGGCGCATCAGGCCTGCGCGTTTCTATCCCAATCCTCGGAGCGATGTCTTTTGGCTCATCCCAGTGGTTGCCGTGGGTGCTCGACGAAGACGACTCCATCGAGATTCTCAAGGCTGCCTTTGATCGAGGTTTAAACACATGGGATACTGCAGACATGTACTCGAATGGCATTAGCGAGGAGACTATCGGAAAGGCGCTGAAGAAGCACAGTATTCCACGCGAGAAAGTTGTCATCATGACCAAGAGCTTTATCCCCGTGGCTGAGCAATCCGATATTTTTGTGGGCCCGTTTTATCGAGAGATGTCACAGATGAAGGATTATGTCAACCGAGCAGGCGTGTCATCACCCACAATCTGAATTTGACAGTGGTTTGGTAGTATGGATGCATGAAGCTAACCGTATGTTTGGGTAGGTCTCTCTCGAGGTGCTCTATTCAAGGCCGTCGATGCCTCCCTTCAACGCCTCGGAACCGAATATATTGATCTCTATATGATTCACCGTTACGATCCCTTCACGCCGGTTGAGGAGACGATGCGAGCTCTGCATGATTTAGTTTCGTCTGGGAAAATAAGATACATTGGCGCTTCCTCCATGTGGGCAACACAGTTTGCGCACATGCAGTCCGTGGCTGAGAAGAACGGCTGGACCAAGTTCATAAGCATGCAAAACTACTATAACTTGTGCTATCGTGAAGAGGAGCGAGAAATGAACAGGTACTGCAACGAAACGGGCGTGGGAATAATGCCCTGGTCGCCCAACTTTGGTGGTAAACTGGCGAGACCACTCGGAGACGCGACATCCTTGAGAGCACAGATGCCTTCACCAACCGGCAATAGCCTTACCAAGGCGGACGAAGAGATCATCCACCGGGTGGAGCAATTGGCCGCCCGGAAAGATTGGAAGATGAGCCAAGTTGCACTCGCCTGGCTTCGCAGCAAGGGTGCGGTACCAATTGTTGGCCTGAACTCATTGTCGAGACTTGAGGAAGCATGTGACTTGCGCGGGAAGGAGTTGACAACCAAGGAGATTGAGTTTTTAGAAGAGCCGTACGAGCCCAAGAATGTCGTTGGCCATGCCTAGTAGCCCAAAGCAAAAGGCGATAGCAAGTGGCAAGGACTTGAATCACTTCTCTATTGTTGTTAGTCAAGTCGGGTACAGGATGAGCCTCGGCAACGAAACAAGACGGTGTGCCATGATGAGTTTGGCAGAAATCTTGGGTCAACTCTGTCTGTAACTGGACAGTTTAACATGAATAAATTAGTACCGTCTATTCTATGTTTACATGATGCAAACCTCTAGTGATTTGGTTGGTAAGTTATGTACACGTATTTGGTAAGCAAGGTCTGCACGGAAATAGTCACATACGACCATGGGCAGGTAGTGGGAGATTCGGGGTCCCGTTAAATACTCTATTCATGGTTCAATCTCCTCTAGCCTTATCATGCTTGGTCTGAGAGTGGAATCGCGTGATGTTGTTTCCTGCGACCAGCGCACGGACGCTGAGCTATGCAAAAAGTCTTCATCTAAGAAAACTTAAGGGTCCAAGTTCAGTTGAGGCATATATGACATGCGATCGCAAGCTTTTAGATGCATTGAGGTCGATGTTGAAGAGTGATGAGAACCTATAGACGAGCATTACAAGTCTATAGATCCAGCTCATGTTATGAGCCAAAGTTCGGCTATCACTGCCATGCAGGAAGCGTCTCAATGGCTGGATTTCGATCTCAGTTCACATACAAGGACGGATAAGTGCCGAAGAATGATTGACGCAAGGATTGAAACATGGAAGATGGCGTGACCATCTCATGTAGAACTGCCCGGGTTCGCATAATACATGGATTCACCGCATCTCTCCCAATTTGCACCGTTTGGAAAGCTTTTCGTATCCATTGACGTGAATTCTTTGCCTAAAACACACCGGTCTTAAACTAGCTGGAGCCCAATTAACTGCGACACCAGGCAACAGCAGGCAACAGCCACCAGATCCATCATGATCACATGACTACGCGTTGAGCTACATAGTATTTAGTTCGGTGAACAAGACGTTAGTTGCTCCAGCTCGCGTTTGTGTGCCTAGAATTCAAGATGGCGTGTCTTTCAGCTCTTCCACAGGAATTGACTCTTCAGATCTTCCAACTTCTCGAGGTTGGTGACAAAATCCGCCTCAGTGCAACTTGCAAGCACTACCGAGCTCAATTGGCGCCAGAGATCTTCAAGACAATTCGCCTCACCAACGATGAGAGAGTTGCGCAGTCCGCTCTAGCGGCTATCGAGGCTCACGGCGAGTACACAACTCGCATCGAGTTTAAAGGTCACTGCGAGTACGATTCCGATAGAACGGAACCTGCCCTCCCGCCAGCCGCAGCCAGGGTCCTTCAAGGTCATCTCACTCCGAACTTAAGAACCGTCAGCCTTGGGTTTACATTTGACTTTGAAGATGGCGATGAGTGGGATGAGGGCCATCCAGATGCCTCGGGAGGGATGTCAATATATTTATTCGAAGGTGAGGAAAGCGAAGAATACGTCCGAGAGAGGGAAAGGACATGGCAGTGGCGCGCTCTTATGAACGAGACCTGGCAGGCGCTGATAGCCAATATCCATGTGAGGGAGCTTATCCTGGACAAGCTAATTCCCAAGTGGACATCTACTTTCCGCACAGAAGAGTTCCGTCAATTGCTCTCCCGGCTGGAGTTTGCAACATTCAACATACTCGGCACGGATAACGGCGCAGGGTGGAAGACCAATACAGTGTGGGGTTATGTTGCGTTCCTCCAGGAACTAGACACTTCTTTTTTCCACCATATGACGGGACTGAAGCACTTGACTATTCGTGCAAAGGACCCCCTCGGCCTTGAAGGGTTTCGCCACATCCCTCTTGCGCTTAAGCCCGAGGATCTTCCATTATTAGAATCGCTGAAGCTTATGCGCTGCTTCGTTGGCCCGGAGCTGGTCTCATTTATACGCGGTCACAAACAAGTTCTCAAATCTCTCGATGTCAAAGAATGCGTTAGTGCGGGTGAATCTGGCTCGGCGGACAATGGCATATCTTGGGCCGAGTTTCTTGATCAAGTATACGAGGCGAAGCCCGCACTTACTGAGCTCATTGCTGGAGGTGGCCGTGCACCTCTCACCAGAGAAGAGGAATTCACACCCGACTATCAGTTCAAGGACGAACCTGAAGACATCCAGGAGATTCGCCGAAAGCTCAAGGCCGACCCAAGGCTGCGGTTGTTTGGATATGGATCGCTAGACGACAAGTATGGCATGTTTTTTTTAGATGAAGACGCAAATGAGGAGGAATTTAAAAGTGGCAACGACCAGAAGGCATTTGATCGACTCATGGGCCATGTAAATCAGAACGCTGCCAAGGCAAAGCAATGACCTAGGGTGTACGGGTGACTACTTACTTACAACTTACCGAACCTTGCTATAGAAACAACTCTTGTTATATGTTGAGCGACGATTTGAATAGCCCTTCATATAGACATTTGGAATAGATGCGAAAATCAGTTATTCGGCACCGACTACAACATGATCGGTCTGATGCTGAGCTTCGTAGTTGTCCACAGTATACATAACGTAGATTTCACGAATCCACCTATATGGGTCATGGAAGGTCCAGTATTAGTCTTCATCTTAGGAAAAGATTACTGTTGTATAATGGCCCTCTACCAATTCTTCACAGCAAACTTTATAGTATCCTTTGGGAAGACATCAGTTATTTTAACGCCACAGAGAGGCGTCCGTCTCAGCCGCTCAACTTGGATTTTAAAACGGGTGTGAGAGGCACAGGATTGTGGTTATATTTTTGGTTAGTTAAATTGAATGTCATGCCCTGCCCACTTCAGGGCGGCATATAGCCATGCCTGTCCACGGACAGTCTGTAGCGCCTCACACCCGCTACCGGTACTTTATCGCGAGTGCAGCAAATTACATAAGAAGTTACCGTCGGCATACCAAGTCGGATCAGCACAGTCTTAATATTAATACAAACCATGGGATGGTCAAGGCAGTGACCATGCTGGGATTGGGAGAGTAGCAGAAGAAGCAGTGAAAGAAGAGGGCAACAAGTATAAACCCGTTCTTAGGTACTCCTATTTATTATCTAGCTAATAGAGAGTTCCAGTGGTGGAACAGCCGAATTCTAATTATGTATGTGATATATCCATGGACTACCAGCAGATTCTTTAAGGCAGAGCCCAGATATAGTGCGACGAACGATCCTCCCGCCAACGGAACATATATATAAAAAACAAGTTAAACGAATGCATCAGCATCATTTAATATACCTCGAAGTTCTATAATCACCTCGTAAAGACAGCAAGGAGAGATAAAATGCACCGCATCTCATCCAGACCAGCATCTCTCTCCCAATACAAACTCTCAGACTGAACTTCCTTTGGAATAGATCTCCTTAACGCAGTGGAGACAATCGCAAATCCAAGACACAGGATAAAATCGCAGCGAAGTCTCATGCTTGCATAAAATTTTAATTTTAATTTTAACAACAAGGGATAAATAAAGTTCACGGTATTATAGGTTAAAGAACCCAGACACTGAGGTAACAGTTAAACCTATCTTAGATAAGTTATATCCATCGGCGACAAAATACCAAAAGTACTATAAGAATGTTAAAAAGCTGTATACATCTCATAGTCTCTGCCTTAAAAAAACACGCGATAAAGGTAAAGGGGCTTCCTAATATCACGCAGACGGCCAGGTAGAGTACTCATGCTTGAGGAGAGAAATAGCGCAGCCCTTCAAAAGTCCCATTCCTTCATGAGCTGATTAGCTTCAATTTCATTGTCAAAGTTAACGACGTGTGTTGAATGACACCACGGTTTAATGGTCATTTCCTTGCGAATGATCTCAGAGAAAAACTTGGACCACTTTAGTCGGGGGTGGGCTTCATTGATCTGAGCGATAGTTGTATGATGCAACAACTTTCCAAAGTTCTTGACATGTGGGTGGATGCCTGTGTTATCGTATAGTGTGGCGAGCTGAATCAGCTGGCCGAGATACGCAATCTCTCCATCAACTCCCGTATCCTCATGTCGAATAATGGCTTCTGAGACAGCCTCTGCCTGATCCGTAGGGGCTCCAAAATCCTTGAGGACCTGAAGAGCTTTGATGCCACCATAGATATCAAAAGACATTCTAGTAGCGGTCAAAAATTCCTCCGCAGTTCCAAGATCGTGCAGTAGACAAGTAAGAGCCCAGGTAACAGGGTTAAGCTCAGCCGCTTGCTTGGGAAAATATTGCTTGGTGATGGCCATTCCTTGAAAAGACGTTAGTATACAGCAAATATACCTGAACAGATGCTCCAGCGACATGAATTACACACCAAAGTAGTACACTCTCATAGAATGATTGAAAGTTTGGGGATGAAGAGTTGCCTTGGCATAATTAATCGTCTTTGCCACTACGCCATCGCTGGATGGAAATCCCAGCTCAGTGATGGAAAGGGGCAATGGTTCAACAGTGGATGGTCGGTCGCCGAAGAGAGTCCCAGCATGCCTGCGAACGCTGGTCCAACCGTTAGACGCAATCTCATCCTGACACATATTTGAGAGCTAAGAGTTGTGTGATATTGAAAAGAGATAACAAATTGTCAAACTGTGATGGAGAGGAAGGAAATGCCTAGAGCAACGAAGCTGATCCGTTTGCCCCTTTATAGTTTTTCTTTATCGTACCTGCACTATATATTTAAAAGACCCAAGGTACTAATACGTACCAGACAATTTCTAGTCCCTTCATATTCGCTTCAAGAAAAAAGACTCATGCCATGCGGGTGTAAGGAAAATGTAACTCGCTTCGGGGGAGTTACAAGTAATGTGCTGTGACCACTCCACTTCCTATTTCGGAAGTTATTTTACGTGGGGCAAGCTAGGTTAATACTGAGTAATAGCGGAGTAGCGGAAGATTGATCGTACTCGTACGTCATGGTACCGATAACTTGCTCAATCAAGCCAGGCCATCTAAAACGTTCTGCTGACAGGTAAGCTCCAATGTCTGTTATCAGCAACCCCCAACTTAGGGCGCAATATGATGATTTCGCCGATATCATTTGGCTATGAGTACTCCGTAGTAGTACTCGAGATCGCGCTACTGCTGATGTGCGTAACTCCTTGAGCCAAGCAGACAAATGTAGCCAAAATCAGATGCGTTCCATTCAACCCGGATTTCTCATTGTTCATTAATGCCCAGTAAGATCTAATTCTTTTTTTTTTTTTTTTTTTTTTTTTTTCTCCCTTTTTACTTAGTTTTACGGCTGCGCGGTTCCAGATATGATGTATGTATGTATTAACCTCTTAGCTATCCTGATCGCTCGATTTCCTACTATCTATAAGGCGAGAGGTGTTGTACACCGGAATGCGAAAGGGTAAAATCTCTTGACAAAGCTCATGACCCAACATATAAAAACCAGCTAGAGATGAGATAAATCCGAATGCGCCCGCCACTTTCATAAGGCTCGTACTGGTTGCAACATTACCTTCTGCCCTAACAAAGTGCGCAATGCAGTTGAAAATGTATGAGAGCTCCAATGCACCATATATAAAAATATTAGGTCCGCCGCTATATCAAATTTAGCAGTATTCTGTCCGTATTTCTTGGACACGCTCTTACGTTGGTAGGGAAGCAATAAAAAAGAACAGATTCAGTATGCACCAAACTATTTGGAAATCATATTCTCAGTCAATGCGCTTCTTGAGATAGATATATGACCTACCGAGCTGGTAAATCCCAAATGCATTGTGATATTCGGCCGTCCGGCCTTGATATGACTCGAGAATGCCCATCGAAGGTAATATTAACACTCCGTAACCGCCGTAGTATAGCCCTGTCCGAAGACGTTAACCTTGGAAAGCCACGAAAACTCCGAGGGCATGACTTACCAAAAGCTGCCAGGACTGTGTATCCAAACGTGTTGCCTTTGACCATTTCCCACTGCGATGAGATCAAGAGCCCAATTCCAGCGAGAAAACAGAGGTTTGCTATAAAGACGGATTGGTTTGTCACCCCGCGGAAGCCCATGCCAGACAGGGACAAAGCCATCAATGTCGCTGCAAACCCGCCAAACCCCAATGCACTCTAGAGTATATAATTAGCGTTCTACCACAAACTTGTTTAACTGAGTGCCATAGTTTGAGGGAGGGTGGTTTATACTGGATTGGCAAGGTCCCTCCGTCTAATGGTAGACGGCTTAGGCGGCTTGATGTCGTTCTCTGGAAATGAATTCATCGCAAAAGTTGTTGCTGAGATCTGCCATTGAAACTGTTGCAGTGTAAGTTCTCGTAAGTTTGGGGACACAGATGATGTGATATAAACGAATCAGACAATGAGTTGGCTGTACTGGAGATGGCAAACTGATCTCGCTGGACTAACTTAACAAGGATGGCTGAGCATGTCTCCACTCCCAAATTTTTCCTTTGTAGGCATAGCTTACCCGGAATGTAGGCGGGACTGATGTGATCTGTCATGGGTCCTGGGTTACACATTACGAGTCGAGTGGAGGTCACACTACAGGAGAAAGAAAGAAAAACAAGAAGGAGAAAAACTTCTCATCCATCCCCCAGGACTAAGTTGGCTCTAAGCTAAAGGTTTCGTCCATTAAGCACAAACTAAGTTCGTAAGACTTTTGGCCTCGTCGCCTTACCTTGCGTCGTGCCAAGAGCAACATTCCTCATGCACCGGACTTCGGCCACGCCGGATCATCTGTGTTTTGTCCCATCCTTGTCATTCTGTTCGTCAATTGCGGTTCTATAATACACGATTACAGGCTATGGATACTTCTTGTTATACATGTCGCCGTCGACGTGTAGAATGTCGTATGGCCCAGCCGCCGTGCAAGAAATGTACCCGGGCCGGAGTAGAATGTACCCAAACCAGACCATTACGATGGGTGAAAGGCGCTACATTTCGAGCCAAGAAGACAGGAAAGATGATTGCAAATAAATCCTTTATATCCAAGGAAATGGCTCTCTTTGGGCCAGCATTGGCTACGAAAGATGTTTCACGCGTACAAATTGCCACGACTTCAGGGTCGATACTGACTACCAATATGGGAGACAGAGGTGAGCTATCCCAAGCTGCAGTTGAATTCCCTTCTTCTATGGACCATAAGTTTCTCTCTTTACACTATCTCTATTTCTGACAGACATTATGCGTACGTCATAGAGCACTACTTTCAGCCAACTCCCATCATGCATTTAGATGACCCTCTTATGTCCCTCCTCGACGAGACTACTCGGTATTACTTAGACTATTGTATGTATAAATTTCTCAGAGCCTCAATTCGCTTCAAAGTACATAATATCTAAGCTATAATTCAGATAGCAGATGCGTTTGCAAGCTCTTTATTATGTATGACAGCACCGTGAATCCGTTAAGAAACGTAATAGCAGCTGCATTCGACAGTCCACTCTTATTGTCTTCTATTATTGCACTTTCAGCACGTCATATGGCAAATACAGGGCTCTCATTTTCTCAAGGTGAAATGGTAATTTCTTCAACAACTTTAACAGCCGCCGACCGGATCGCTCTCCGCTTCAAACATAAGACGCTACAAGGGCTTTCAGATGCTGTAAATAATCCTACGTTGCGCGCACTGGACACAACGGCCACTAGCGCCTTTTTGTTAATGTTTCTTGATCTCCTTGAATCAGGAAGCGGCACCTGGAATATACATCTGGAGGGAGTCAAGAAAATAATCACTCAGATTGAACCACCCACTAAGCCAAAAGGAACAACACAAGGAGATCTTAATTCATATATTATAAGCATACGAGACTTCATCACTAGGCAGATTTACGTGTACGTCTGCTTAGCATAGCCTGTGTTGCCACATTCATTATTGCTAATTACTTCCCATCAGGATCGAAAACCTCGGACCAACATACACGAATCCCAAAATATTGTCAAATACGTCTATCCCTTTGCAAGCTGTTAAAAGGCCACTACAAAAAAAGCTGGAACATTCGTACTTGGGATGCCCTGAGTATATTTTAGACGCTCTTGGGACCTTTTCTTCTTGTCGAGATTTTCTCGTGTCCTCGCAGCCGAAGAGCGAGGTTAGCCTTGATACACGTATTCAGAAAGTGCATTACGTGCTTAGATCTACGGAGAACTTCGATTGTTATTCCTGGGCAGCAACACTACCGCGGCTACCTTCAACTTCAGTGCAGATTCAAGAGCTTTCTAAGTTAGCAGAGTCCTATAAATTAGGGGCTCAGATATATGGCAGACGCATTCTTGATGCTCTTATTGGAGAGGAAACCACTCAGGACCACCTCGTGCGTCGGCTTATTGGCGTCATTCATGAATTAAAGAGTGACGCCAACTTGTTCAAATGCATACTCTGGCCAATGGTCATTGCAGGATTGGAATCCCATCAAGAGATGCACAGAGAGTTTATATCAAGTTGCCTGGAGAAATTTTGGCTTGAAACAAGATGTTTGAATGTGGTGAATACTGGCACTATACTTCGTAAGTTGTGGCAGTGGGAAGAACGGGAAGTGTCGACCCCGACGCATTGGATATTCAGGATTGGTCAATTAGGGGGCGACTGGCTCCTTGTATAAACAGTCAAATAGTTCTCATAAAATTAATTAAGCCTCAAGGGGCAACTTCAATATAGTTGCTCGCTGAAAAATACAACACTTTGTCACATCTATTCGTGCAACTTTAACAAATGCCAACTGACGCGTGCCACGAGCAACTTTTAGCTTAATGATGACTCGCAAAGAAAATCACTAGAGATTTCTTGCAGCACATTTTATAACTCTTTCCAATTTGTTGATCCAGGCAGAGGGAAGCTATGCCACTGATTCCTTCGATCACCAGGGCTTCCTGGCCATACATCCATCCAGACCGCTCTTAGGTCATCACGCTCGAAGAAATCATCCTTCAGCACATCCTGATCATGATAAATAGATTCGATTTCTTGAACGACTAGGCCTCCGTCCCGAAAATCCCTTCTCACAAGCCACTTCCGCGCGATCCATTGCAGAGCGAGCGTCGTTTCATAGTCAGCCCAGCTCTGCGCGGAGTGCCCGAAGTGGCCAGCGCCATGGATTTGTAGTTTGAGGGTGACAAGAGAATAGCCGTTGACGTACGCCCTCGTTGTAGCTATTGCCTCAAAGATGGATTGAGCAAGGACCGAATCCATGGCGGTATTGGTGAGCGCGGCGCGGAAAACGCTAACGGGTAACTTCCAGAAATCATTTTCCATATCAATCAATGTTTCGCCAGGCCTTGCTTCGGGAGGATTGATGATAGAGCACTGAAGGATTAGAGAGATGTGTTTCAATCGTGGAAGCCGCCCAAGATTCCGATAGATGTCAATTTCGTCTTCGTCGCCATTGGTTCGAGGCACACGCAGCTCCAGCTTCTCCAACTGTGAACAGACACTTGAAAGTAGTCGTATCTTATCATAAGAGAGTACAAGAACCTCAACATCATTCCAAGACTGCCAAACTGGGACAAAACGAAGCTCTCGAAGACAGCTGCCGTGTCGGTCAATCACTGCTCGCCAGGCGCCATCTCCAATCTCGTTTTCCAATTCGAGGCTTTTCAGCGGGTTTATAGCTCGCAATAGCCGACATACGGACCCGTCGATAGCCATTGCTTGCTCCTTACTACGTGCTGTAGGCCCTAAGGAGAGAGAGGAAAGAGAAGAAAGCCCGTCACTCTCTCCAATAGTAGCCAGGACTTGTACTGCTTCAATCATAGTATCTCCCAGATGCAGTTTCGTTAGCTTGCTAAAGTCGGTATAGCCAGACCACTGACGAATGCTCATCTCTGAAGCTCCTCGAATGTGCAGGGTGTGTAAGCTCCCCTTTTTATGCACCTTATCGTATGTTTGGTCGTTGTTGATGAAGAAACCCTTCCATTTCGGCTTACCGGATTGCCTGTGTAACTTCCAGGCTTGGTCCAATTCAATCGTGTTGCCTTGCGGTTTACTAACCATGCCGACATATGATAGCCTTGGCGCTAAACCTTGTACCATCTGTATTACGGCTTCTTCATTGTAGCCGATGTATCCCGCTGCAGTATAAAAGCAGTGTCTCATGTAAAGTCCATAGAGATTCGGTGACGTAGCGAGGGCAAACTCCTCTAGCGAGATATCGTGACATTCGTTCCTTGGCTGGTAGAGACTTCGAAGCCTGAAGGTATAAACATGTAGTCTGACATCTGGGCAATTGTCGCGCAGTGCTGAGAGCAAGCACATCGGTACCTGGGCATTGCAATCATATATAAGATCAGATAAACCACTCAGCCGGATGATGAATCTCGCTACTCGGACCCAGCATTCTTGAATCTTAACCTTTTTCTGTAGTACCTCTTCTGGCAGTTGTTGTATTGTGCTTGGCTCGTAGAGAATGTTTGATCTTCTTGGTGGAAGAAGTGGACTAGGCGTCGGAAAGAAGATTTCCTCATCAATCTCATCACGCCCACTTTTGTCACTAATCCTAAGCTTGCGAACAAAGCTAAGGCGGGCATCTACATCTGGTAACTTGTCCATAAACGCGAAATCTTCGTCTGACATCAACCTGCCGATCTCAAGATGAACGCGCCCGAGACGAAACTTCATGGCCGCAGAGGCGCATTGTCGATTCGCCAGCGAAAAGGCGAGTAGGCCTCCGTCTTTCGACGGATTCAGCCAGGAACAGATGTCTTGTAAAAGATGAAAAGGCAGCCTTTCCAGTGGCGCCGAGGAGGTCTCAGATGCCATCCTGGAATCTTTGCTGACTTTTGTTTTTCTTGGTCTATGAGGTGAAGATGTGGGAGCCTGGAGGGGCGGCGCCAATATTAGTGGGTGAGGATTCGGCGCGCTACTTCATGGGTCAGGCAATGAAGGGTTACCGTCTCGCCATCAGGGGTCAGATCCTACGATTTAGTGGGTTTGACGGTCGGTTATTTTAGCTTGTCAATGTCCTTTTGTTAGGTAGTTGATGGTGACTAACACTGGAAGGATGAACTATATATAGGTAATTAGCAAACGGTAAATTTCACATGTGATACTATTGCGCTGCCTGATTAAGCCGATTTACGCAATGAAGGAGAGGCATCTGCACAATACGTCAATGCTAACATGTCCCAGCACCAACATTCCACAGAACTAGCCGCAGTGATGATCAAAAACTGGATGACTATTTAAATTTGAGTAAATATGCTAGCCTTATAAAATATATTACTAATGGCTTATTTATATAGCATTTTCTCTTCTGTAACGGACTTGTTTCTCGTTTCAAGAAAGCGGCAAAGGTTGCGATGGCGGGAAAATGCACTCACCGTGAAGAGACGCCAAGCACGTATTCCGTTATTCTCGCTGTTCGGGTCAAGCGGGAACAGTATGGTTCCTCGTTCCGAATTTTCCAGCAGTTCGGCCTTCTCCCCGTCATCCATATTCACCTGCGCATAACTGACCACTACTATTTTGGGCTTTTTCTTTGTGAAGAATGTCTACCAGCGCAGAGACAATCAACTTCGTCACCTGTTTTTTTGTAGATGGGATTGTCCGACCTGGCCATCTCCCCATCTACCAGGTGCGTGGAAATCAAAGCTTGTGTATTTTACTGTCGCCCCTATCTGTGCAAAGTTCCGGGTAATTCCTCCGCCAACAGGTCGGATATAGCCTGCTTTCTCATTCATAGGTTTAGTGACTTCAACACCCAGCAGGAATCTTAGGATCTGATCATCAAAGCCAGGGTCGTCAAGGATGTTTTTGCCATGTATTCACTGTGCGTCCCCGTTTTCATCTACGTCGGGTGTGTAAAACGTTCGAATATTTTCCAGAGATGTGTTTGACCATTGTCAGCAACAAAGGCTTCTGCCTAATGCTCGTTCTTCAGGTGTACCGAACACCTCCGGTGTCCTTGTGGGTGATTCTCAAGACGGCGCAGGATACGTAGAATTCCTTGGGTTGACGAGAGCGGCACTTCCTACTAAATACAACTTGAGTTTGGCAGCACCGCCATCTTTCTAGGATCCGCCAGGCTTTCCGCTAGCCAAGAGCACCAATATCTGGACTACATCATTTACATGACTCAGTAAAAGTTGTTTTCCTGCTAGCTTCTATTACGGACTCATGACTTAAGAACCAATAGCCCCGGATGCCCTGCTAGACACCGCTTGAGATCTATTGTCAATCAGACACAAGTGAATGACACCCTCCTCATGATCACCAAGAAAATCATCGTTGGGATACCAATGTACGGCCGGTGTTTCAAAATGACCAAGGCAGGAAGCTGGCGGCACAGCCTCGGGGGCCGCGCCAAGTTGATGCGCCGATACCATGGATTATATTTCCAATCTGAGACTCATGATATTCTTGTAAATGGAGGCGTGGAGCAATATTACAGCGACGACAGAAATATCCTCAGGTATAATGGCCTTGAGTGGGGAGTGTCGCGGCTGAACACTGATCCTTACCAGAAGCGACCCAACTGGGTCCAAGCGATTAACTTTGGAAGAATCTCTGATTGTGCCATTGACCTAGACGCAAACTGCGATGCTAATAGTGGTCTCGGTAAAGGTGGCAACGGCAGTACTAGCAAGGGTGAAAACGGGGGCGCCGGCAAGTTTATCATCAGCCCTGACATCTCCAGCCAAACAGTCGATGCTCAAGTATCTTGCTGGCCGCCTGACAACTGTATTTTTCACCTATGGATACTGGACCAGACGACCACAATCTTGCCTCCCAAGGTGACGGTCAACTGCTTTGAGAACTAGAACGCGACAATTACCGTCAAGGCGCTACTATCACCACTGTCAGCATTCCGCCCATGACGACGAAGACAATTTGGGTCTGGAATCACTCTTGGAACGGCACCAATGCTACAATCTGGCTAACTACGAGCGTTCCTATACCATTGAGATCACAGGGTTGTGAGTAATCTACACACAAGTACTCCGTGCAATCGACACGAGATGCATCCATACTGACTGGCCTTACATCTTACTCCATACAAGCACGGCTTAACTTCAATTCATGTTTAATGGTTTCACCTTCCCATCTAATCGGCGCAACCCAGAGTCAAGCTAATTAAGAAGAGATAGATTAGCAGTCAGGTGGGTGAACACTGGTGAACACCGGTTGTTGTATGTTTTTGCATTTGTGTTTGTATGTGTTGGTGTCATATACCTGTAAGCTGTCTTATGACATGTAGGTAATGTAGAGAATTGAGTTGGGCAGTTGTGGTTCCGAATCAACCTTCAACTTCCGCAGGCCTGCAGTTAGTTTAGCTCTGGTGTCATCACTGTTTGTAAATAAGTCCAATCGGCCTATTTCTTGCGGACAAAAACTTGTCTAAGCCCAGTGGTCCAAATATTGTGCACGCCTAGCCTTGTCGAGAACTTTTGCAACAAGGACTCGGGAAAATATTCGTATTATACGGAGTAGAGACAAACCTTCTTGATTGTCGGGATTTTGTTTAGGCTTATATTTAGCTCAGTCCGCCTGAATGTCCGCAGTGCTCCGTCAGCAAATCATGCCCCAGTATTCTGCACCTTCGTATTTCTTTAGCGATCCTTGCTACCTCAATTAGATCCCACTCGTTCAGCTCATCCACCAAGTACGGCTCCATTATTAGCTTCTTGCTTCTGACGTAAGACCTATACTTAAGCTATTCCTGCCTTTGATTGCCAGCTATTCCCACCTCGAATATTCTGTACCTGTGGACGGGTTTTCACCGCCTCGAGGCAGTGCTAGCGGGTAGCTGACACTAGCCTTGCGATCCCCTGCCCGGAGTTTGTCAGTTGCTCCAATAGAAACCTCTCAATACCTTCTAGCAATGCCAGGGCATTATCCAACATGAGATCATATGGTAAGATTCCTGTTGATTCTTGTATTCTTCACGTCAGTTAGCAAATGTATATAAGTCGGGCCACAGCTGCCTTCAATTAACGCTACCTGGTTACTCTTCGCTACAATCTTCACAAGCGTATTCTTCAACGTTCTATCTCGGTTACTATTTAGTCTATAAGCATTATGGGTATCAAGAACGCGGTCCTGCTCTCTGTTGCAGCTCTTGCTCAAATTGGCACTTGCACACCTACAGGTCAAATTGAGCCACCCATCCCTGAGGTTTGAATAATGGCGAGACTTATAAGACGATCGCTTATTAATCAGTCTATAGCTCTCTCGTCGTGCGCCAAACACTATCTGGATTTGGGCTGGCCCGTAAGCTCATTTCAGTGTTCTTGAACTGCTGAACAACTGCTAACTCATAAAAGTAATTATACTGGCCCAAGCCAGAGTCTTACTTACAACACCGTTAACGAGTGCCACGCCATTAACTGGGACACCATTGGGTCAATCTGGTTGCCAGATAGTAAGTGTCATACGGAAGGCTACCGTGTACATTACTAATTTAGTATCAAAGACGTTGTTTGCACATTTACCGTCAAGCCCGGCGATTGTCAGGATGATGTTGGCAACTTCCGGTCTCAAACCATCTTCCCCTCAGGCCTGGCAGATATCCGCCAGTGGTGGGAGCCAAGAAAGGCAGACTTCCCAGCTTACTGGTTCCACAATGCCCGGTCAATTCAATGTGGTGGAGCAAACTTTTAGAGGAGTAACCTAAATGATAATTTTTATGTTATGAGAAGTGACTAGTATATACTAAATTCGTTTATCTTGATTCTATCAAATTCGATAGCCAATCTATTTTATCATGAGACCGATCATCGGCACTCTCGTCATAGGTTTACCATTGTAGTGAGTTTCAACAAATAATTTACTTCTTTCATACTATCAGCCAAAGGTCAAATACCCCCTCATATTCCCAAGATCTTTCGGCTGCCTATTTTATGTCTTCCTTCTAGTCAATTATAAGAGGACTATGTGCTCTCCTTGAAGAGACGGGCTTAGCCCAACGCAATTGTGAGCTCTTTGGTGGATCTTGAGGTAATCCAGTGTAAATTACTATATTACTCTTTTGAGACCAGGATTTTCATAACATAGATTTCATGTAAGTGTCTAAGGTTAGGCCGCCAGCCGTCTTAAGAAAATGGGGTGGAGAATTCCTCAAAGGTTTGCTAGAAGGATTGACATTTTGGCAGCAGTTAATTGATGGCAATATGACAGAATGCTCTTCACATCACTCTATTGCCTATATTTGAGAAGAATAAATATTAGTCTAGATCAGAAAAAGCTGAAAGTCGGGACTTTTGATGCGCTAACTAATCAGAGGCAGTGGCTATTGAATTGGTAGGTACGTGTATACGCCGGCCCCTCTATGCCGACAGCCAAAAAGTATCGCTTTTTTATTCGAAATGGCTATGCATTCTGTCTTTCAAGGTAATAAACTAACTCAGGTATGTAACTTACCGGGAGAGAGTTAAGTTCTGTCATACCAGAACATCCTCTCACTCTCCTTCTCACCTGATAAAAAAAATGGGGGGAGGGAGAAGAGAAAGTTCTACTTTTCTCAATCAGTTGATAAAAACCTTAGAAGGCAACAGATTAAACTAGCAATTACTAAATATATTTTGATCTTGAACGAACTGTAGATAACATGAATTATATGTGTATCTATTTAGACCTGGCCTCATTTCCCCACTGCGTAGTGAACCCTAACGACTTTCATCAAGAGTAGTGCATGTCAATCAATCCCTTAATTGGAAACCGTTCAAAAATGAACTCAGCACCTGAACTCGTCCATTCTCATCGGCATCTCTCTCAGGATCTTTGGGGAAATGAGCGCCCAAGCCAACAAAGAGGTCAGTAGGCAACGACTCGTGAGGCCTACCACTGAGCACATTGAAGGCGCGCATTATCTTATCCCGCGTGTCAGCAATGGCCAGCCTCTGATGATCATCTGGTGAGAGGTATGACAGCGCCCGACCCGCGTATATGATTAAGCCGGCAAGGCCAGCAGCGAATGCTGTCGCAACGGAGCTGCCACTGATCAACTCCGCCTCGTCCCCGCTGCCGTCGGGCGCTGGAAGAGAAATATCTTTGGCCGGGAAGAGGTAATTTGAGCGTCTATTGTTGCCGGACTCGGTCTTCTCACCCCATTTAGTCGCAGAACCCACGCGAATGACCTCATAAAGGCGGATAGGGTACCATTCTTCGAGCATTGTCATCTCCATATCGTTGAGCGAACTAAGAAGTATAATGTTCTTGCTCGATGCATTTTGAATTGCTCTCTTGAAAGCCTCTGTTTGAGCGGCTGTCGCTCCCCTTTCATGGAAAGTCCAGCTCATCGAAATAATATCAACACCCATGTTGGTCGCCCATTCGATTGCCTAAGAAGGGTTAGATATTTTTCTAGCAACGACTATGCTAGTAAGGGACATCATAGTTGTAAATGCTCTCACCTTAATGGCGGAATCCACTGTCAACTTTTCAGTTGGCATTGAATCGTCCATTCGGGCCACATAGAGCCGAGCCATGGGACAGACCTTGTAGATGCACTGGGCCATCTGAGTACCATGGCGTGAGGGTCCTGTAAAATAATCTCTGAATGGGATCTTAGAGTTTCTTTGTCCATACCACGATTTACCCCCTACCATGATAGGAATGTCTTCCGCTGCAGAATAGACACCATTGTCAATAAGTGCAATAGATACGTATGCCGGACACTCCATTTTCTTTTCGGCTCTCCAAATTCTTGCGTCGGCTTCTTCTTTTTCGTCTTGGCTGCTGCTCTTCTTTTCTTCAACACTCTGTCTGTTCTCATCAATATGTTCATCTTCGTCAATATGGTCATCCTCGTCACTTTCTTCGTCACTGTGCTCATCTTCGTCACTTTGCTCGTCTTGGTTACGCTGTTCGTCTTGTTTCATCTTTCTCTCTATTTCGCTCTTAATCGGGCCTTGCAAAAAGTTTATAAATGGCTGCATAGTCCGAATCCATGCTATTTGGCTGCGGTAGTGCGTTAGTTCTGGTAATTGGGCCCATAGATTTAAAGGAGATGGAGGAAATGTTGAAATACACACTCAGACTGATTATAACCAAATGATGATCCTGCATCCTCAGCGCCATCATCTTGGCCTGTGAGTCCAGCGGCCCACTGTAGATAAATACTGTTCCTCATGTCAGGCCGCCATCGACAGAAATCTCTCTTGAATCTATTGAAGAGTCTTTGACATTCACGCTTCGTCTCTCTCAACTATAGACCGTTTAGTACTGTAATTACGCAATATCCGGGTGATCAAATATAACTCACGTCTGCATGCATTACAATGGTAATGAATTTGAGCTTTTCTATTGTCAGTATGATGAGACTTTTTTCCCAGCATAGGTAAGATACGTACCTGATTCAATTTTTGAAGTCCGTCATACTTACATGCCCAACTCCGAAGAATCGCCTCATTTCCGCTACTCTGTAGATACAGTTCACGCGTTCCAGGAGCGGCATCAAGGATAGTTTTGCCACATATATCGAGCTTTCTCCAGTCCCATCGTTCAATATTGAATGGTTTAAGTGCAGCCTTAATAGCCTTGTCCGTATGCGGAAACGGGACGAGGTCATCAACAATGACATGAAAAATCTTCCTCACAGACCATTTAGTACGCAGCAACCTGAACACACCTTGGTAGTGGTTGCGCTCCTGCGTATTTATATCCCGCGCCTCTGGACTGATATAATCTGCTCCAGTCAAGTCACGGCGTAAGCTCACATATTCAAGAGCTGTGTCGAAGTTGAACTTGACTCTGTCTGAGAGATTTATGATGAAGTTCTTATCAATGATGCGAACATCGGTCACATCAAGATAAATATTCCGCGCTGTGTGACTAATGAGCGTCTAATCTGGAATACAGAGATCCTCAAGAGTAATTGTGGTGTGGGAAATACGCCGGATTGCAACCGTCACATAGACTCCGATAGAGCCTAGCAGGTACTTGACTAACAGCATTCAAGGGATAGGGGAGGGAATATCAATGAAATAAAGGTGTACACACCATTTTTGAGACCTCCATAAAGATATACCAATTTCTCGTCTCGATCTCGGTCACCTCCAATGCATGTATGCTTCAGTAGTGTCATTGTCTTGTATAATGAAGCCATCTTATCAGGATCAGCACTCTTCTGGCCAGGGGCAGACTGCCGCTGCGGATCTAACGCCTGAAGCATTGAATACGCAGTTTGTTTCGCAGTATCGTTAACTCCCTCGGTAACCGAGTAGATAGAAGACGGACAATGCTGTACCAGACTGCAAATCACATCATGCAGACGCCCGAAGTCTAGATCCTCCTTTTCGTACAGGAGGACAGCCTCGTGTAATGGAGTGTTGCCCTTGTCATTGACGGACTCCAAAGTTTCCTTGGGACACAGCTCAATAAGTCGCTGAAATTTTTTGGAGCTAACAATGGATGTTTCCTTATTAAAGGAGCTTTTTTGCAGCATATTATTCAGTATAGTAGATGTGCCACGGCGTGAACTCAGAGCCTTGTCGTCCAAGATTTTCACAACCGTCTCTTTAAGTTGGGCGTTCCACTTTAATAACTCATCCACCCTCACGGTATCGTGGACACAACCACCAGACGCCAAAGCAGCTCCATCACTGCCGCTAAAATCCTTGGCGAAAACGGATCTTATGCGTTCGGGTAGATTAATGTTGCAGGCACCGGCTGCCCGACTTTTATTCCATGTCATCGGACAGGCCTCAGCTGACAATTTGCAAAGCACATCGTCAGATAGTACAAATTCGAGGACCGTGAAAAGCATTGGTATTACCCCGACATGTAACTCGTCGAGTGGACGGTAACCATAGCTATTGGGCTGAGTGAGCAGCACATGATGGTCGATGATGAGGTATTCCAAAAATTCCTGCACAACAGTGGGAAAGGTGTGGATTGGATGATTTCCACCTTCCAGTTTGTTGTCGATCACAGAGTGCCTGTGATATAGAATCTCGTGGAAGATTGTCGAATTACGATAACCAGGTGAGGTGAGGATACCGTCAGAGCGTCCATTATAGTCCTGGAAAATACAGAGCCCAGTCTCATTGACGCAACTAAAAAGTTTTGCAGCCAGTTTCTCGTGTGAGGTGCTTATTCTAAAAAGAGGATCCGTATCGGGGTTCGTCTGGCCAGTATCGAGGTTATCTTGATGTTTAACGGCCTCTGTATTCGCCGTCAGGCGTTTTTTGAAACTGATTAACATCTCTTCGTCTTCACCTGGACTTTGTGGGATGATCGTGGGATGATCGTGGGATTTTGAGCAACACTCAGGCTAAGTGAAATTGTAAGATGAAATTCCCTTGCCTCGTGCAGGATGAAGTCAAGACCATTAAGATAGTTAAGATAAAAAGAAAGTAAACACGTCGGAGAGGCCAACAGGGGCGGTATGGCGCTGTACCCCAATAATTGCAAGAGAGAAGTACATGTATACGGAGTATACTCCGTAGATACATGAATAATTTCACGTAGAGTGCTGTGGGGCTATGCCGTACCGGGTTATGCCGTACCGGGTCTTAACGTCCATTGTTGTATTGCCACGTCACTGCGATACAGCAACTACCCGTAGTTTAATGAATGGGCAATTTCTCAGAGGTGATCAGTATTCCGTTTTTTTTTTCCGCAGAAGTTAGCCAATCCCTCATAGATTTTATACTGGTAACCTCAAAGCTTGCCTGGCTGTATTTAGGACTCACGGCTGTCCACTCTTTCTTGTCGAATACTGCGGGCCATCAGAGGTCAGTGTCAGCAGTAGTTTGAGTATATAACGAAAGCTTACTTTTTGGTCTTATCATTAATACGAGGGAAATTATGCTCATGTTCTATGAGGCAAGTGTATCTTGAGTGCATGTAAATCCTTTGGAATTGTCAGTCATCATTGCACCTAGCTAGGTAATCAAACTTCGTTTACAAGTTACCAGTTAGATGAAGTCCCTGATTGTTTTCCCCCCCTCGGCCCTGAAGGCCGAGTATGCATTAGGGAAATGTGTCGGCGTGATAGACCAAGGCACGTCTAGTGTGGCGATATCTCCATATTGTCGTATCAATGTAATACCGTACCACCATACTACCGTATTGTAACGCCAACACGGTTTCACACGGGAAATTAACATATGGATTTGGAGCCAGTACACATTAGTAGGAGAATTAGATCCTGTATGCTCCTTTATGTCACTCCGCCCTTGTATTTATTGGGAAACTGTTAGACAGGTGCCATATTGCCAACCAGTTAATATCAGTATAAAATGTCCGAATCTCTCCAAAGATATTCTGAACCTCAATGCCAATCAAAGGTTGCGATGCTCTGATTGATTTACTATACTACAACAAAGACGATCGGAACAGGAGCAGTAACCATGACAGCCATCCACAACGCACCTGATATCCCCCCCTTTCAATTGTTTCTGGAGGCCAGCGAGGCAAACTATCACACACTCAATGATGGAAATGAAATCAATCGATCCAATGTCACCGATGACGCTACTGACGGCTTCACTATCATGGCATCGTTGGAAAAAGTCATTCACGGCGAGGGTACAAACCTTCACAGCTTCATCGGCTTCCATATCGTCCTCTGTGGAGCTAATTATAAACGGCGCTTTAAAGTTGTAACGATTACTATACGCTTTGAGGATGAAGCAAAGCCTCTTCAGGACGATCCTGAGGTCGTTAGCATCTGGCCCGACACCGAGTATATTTGGCAGGGCATGACCAAGGATATACAAGATACAAAGTCACTCGGCGGCACAGTTGAGGGCGGGGCCTATGGTGCCAAAGTAACGCTTGAAGGCAAGTGGCAGAGGCAGGAAACCTTTGTGCGTAACACGCCAGCACGGATTTCGGGAGAGAAAACGTTGCTCAAGAGGCGAGGGGGCTCACACAAGAACGCGATGCGGATCCGCATGTGGGAAAACCCCCAAGAGGAGTCGGGTGTGCTACGCGAGCTGCGCACTGGTATCCTTATCCGGCGCAACGAGCAGGTCCGCTCCGCTTTAAGGCGTACATCGAGGTTAAGGCCGAGGCCGACATGCGGTACGGCGTTGTCCAAGGCCTCAAGAAGCTGGTTGGTGCGCAACACGTTACTCACCCTGTCGTGTTCGAACCAGGCATCAATTATCTTGATGCGGATGATGTTGCGGGTGTTAATGGAGGAATACCGAGCGCTGCTATGGTGCGAGCCTATGGCGAAGCTGCGTCATGTGTTGAGCTGACGGATGTGAGCAAGCGGGTTAAGAAGGAAGATGGCGAGTGGAGGAACGTGGAGCAGAGTGACATCCGGCCAACATCTACCTGAATGTTGGTATTCAAAGGGATTATTGTTTTTGTCCAAGGTAGCTTGCTTACATGTAGGTACAGGTAGTTTGGGTAGAAGGTTGCACGGACGTGGTTGACAAACGGGGACGTCCAGTGCGTTAGCAATGTGATCGGTTTTTATCACCTCAAAGGAAACATTAAAAAGAATTGTTTCATTGCTGTCACTTGGACCAGTTTGGCAGTTTTGAAGCTTTGTTATAGCTCATGACAAAGGCAAACTGCATGCAAACATGTTGGTAGCATTCACCACAGTTCAGTGTATGTATGTGGGTAGGTAGGTATCAATTTACTACCAGGATATTAGGTACATGTACCTACTTACTATGTAGGTATGTACCTTCGTACATCTATATGTTCTAGGTAGGTATGTGAGTACTTATATACACCGACATGTCGGCCGAGTTTTCTTCCACACTACCTACCTACCTAGGTGATTTATTATGTGCCACAACTCATTTCCAACAAGCCAGAGCAACGTCAGCACAAGGCCTCGAAACGCCAGGAATACCACGATCGTTTCGGAGTTCTCATCCGCGCTCTGCACACCTGTAATTGCCATTTCAAGATGAGCCTCATAGATGGTGCTGAATGGATCAGCTCTGAAAGCCGACAAGGCGCTTACTAGTGAGAGCACACTGTTGAAGCCCTGAAGAACTAGCAATGCTAACTCGGAGTAGTGTCTGTCTTGTGGGATTCCCTCGCGGAGAGCATATCGAAGGGTTAGATGTATCATCACACTTCATCGACCCGGAAGATTGGATAAGCCTTGTGCCGCATCTTGCTCCTAACGCGAGAATCATTGATTTCACCCTTTTTTCCGAAAAAAATTCCGGAGTGGAGAGCTTCTCCTCACCGGCTTGCCTGAGCCCTATTGGCGGCGACAAAAGAAAATCCCTAACCTTCGATCTGACCTGCAAACATGGAGGAGCTGACGGAGACTGCGATCTGGAAACAAAGAAGGAAGAAAGAAGGAGCCATTCATGGAGCGCTCTCCAAGAATGGCCACACCAGGAGCCTTACATTGGTGAGGCGCATTCTTCCATTCATGTCCTGGAGAAAGAGGCTCGCCTCCTGCTAGACACGGCTAAGGAACAAGATTCTGTAAGCAAATAAACGCACCAGAAACCAAGAAACAACCCTGATCCCAGCCGCAATTTCTGCAAGGCTAATTTTAAACCAGTCCGATTGGAAACCAATTATCTTTCTTGCATACGGACTCGGTGGACTTGTCGTTAAACAAGCAATTGTTATAGCTAACAAGGAGCCAAAATACTCCGATATTGCATTGAGAACTCATAAAGCCGTAAGCCAAATACCATTAATGACTCTATCTAAAGCAAAATCCACTGAAACATGCCCGCAGGTATTCGTTGCAACTCCAGACATCGAGGCAGATCTTACAACCTGGGGAGAGATCCTCTTTGAGATGATCGCGGCACCTGACGCGAAGATCAGAGGACGAAAGTCATGTCTCTTATCGGGGTTAGCTTCTTCAGCGAAGGAAGTTTGGACATATTTCCACTGCGCTCTGAATTATCGAAGCATAAACCTACCTAGACGCGTAAAATGGTCCGGTATAACCTCTGCGGTAAGGCTCCCATTGCACATCACGTTTTGCCAATTATCATGATTATATTCTGATCTACGTTTTCTCACAAGCTTCCGGATGAATTGCCATCGCCTAAATCTGCTTCAGATAACGATTTCTTATTGGAATTCACCCTTCCGGCATCCTTGTTCCTTACTGCAAGAGAGCGTGAAAAAATTGAGCTTGATATTGGAGCCATGTTGTATCCTGACACCATTCTAAATGCCTGTAAGAACCGCTTTTTTTTTTTACCCACAAGAATAATAGATGGTCAAAACACCTCAGATTAACGCTCACTGACTCTTTCATAAACACATCGCATAGGGGACATTGAATCATCGGGGGTAACTACATTCTATTTAGACCTTCTAAATTTCCTTCAATACCTTTCGCCCTCAAATCACCTATTCTATCAGAGTACATTATTTCAAGTGCTCAATGATGATCCAGCATTCACATTACACGTTCGCCACGCGTTTGAGTGGCAGCAGTTAAACCATGGCTCAATCCAAGTTATTGGACTCCTAAAGCACGGCAAGACCATACTGGTGAAACATATTGCCCAGAAGGTGTTGTGTAAAACACCCAATGCTCTCTTTCTGGACATATTATTAGAATCTTCTGAGATGGCCACTCTGGACCTCAGGGCTCTTCTTCAATCCTTGGTTCACCAACTCGTCTCACAGCGGCCTTTACTATTTTCCCACATTCGGTCCCTATATCGCAAGTACCGCAAACACCATGGCTTGACAAGACAAGTTGCTCTTTGGAATCTTCTCTGCATCCTAATACGTGGTTCTCGAGACTGGAAAATTATTATCGCTGTCAATAATATCCATCCTCTACCTGAGACACAGAGGTTTCTGAGAACACTTGAAGAATTCTTTTTATCTCTCAACGTCAATTACTTGTTTATATCAAGGAATATCACCGAAATCCTTAATCTTCATCTTACCTCGCCATTGCTTATAAATCTAGATCTCGATATCAGCAAAGATCACTTCATCCAAACCAGGGGCGAAACAAAGCTCGTCGCGCAATCACCATTGCAAAGAATGACGGCTCAAGACCGCACTGGCAATCAAAATATCCATTTGTCAATTACACACGTTGCTAGCGTTGAGATTTACATGAAAGCTCTCTCCTGTGGCCTTCTAAGAGATAGTCTTGAGACCGAAGAGGTGACATTCAATTATTTAATCAGGGTGCTTACCCATGATCAGCTGAAATGGAGTTGCTCCATCATCTCCTGGGTACAGAAAGCTGTACGCCCACTACAAATCAAAGAATTAGCCGCAGCTGTTGCTCTTGGTGACGGTTCTGCCGGATTCTTGAGTTTTACTCTGCAAACACCTGCACTGATCGAACCTGACATTATTCGGCTTTTGAACATCATTCTTCGAGTTGAATCCGACAGGGTTCATATCTTCAGTCCAAGTACCTGGAAACTTCTAAACAAAAAAAATCCTGATAACTCTGACGAGCAAAGTCTGCCACTTTTTAGTCATGGAAATCTAGCAGAATTCTGTCTCCGGTATGTCTATGAAGCCATGACAAATGTGTCTCCAGATGTTTATCTCGCACATATGACTTGGCGTAATCAGGTTCAAACCAACGATGACCGACGAGTAGAGCTGGGCTTTCTTGAGTATGCAGTCCATCATTGGCACATACACTATCATTTCCATGCTCAACTTTGCGCTAGCCAGAAGATTCAAAATCGAGAAGAAGAATTAGACAAGACGCTCCAAAATCTTGACATTCAACTTGACAGTCTCGAGGCTGAGATTACATCGTTTCTGAAAAATGATATTGCAAGGACGAGATGGTATCAACTACTACATATAAAGTGTTTTTCTGAAGAGGAAATGGCAAATAGCGTCAGCGCTCTCGAAGTGGCCACAGAATTGGGCCTCAACTCCATTCTGGGACATCTTCTACTGGCTGAAGCGACCGAAGATGACAAGCCTGCTGAGCACAAAAAAACAGATGGATCAAGTAGCGTCCGCTCCCCGAGTTTAGACAATCTCCTCTGCACTGCAATCATACACGGCCATTCTCACCTCCTGGACTTTTTTCTTACGAATGGAGCTGAAAGAAGCGATGCCATCTTGGAGGCAGCCGGCCTCGGCCGAGTTGACTATTTGGAAAAAATTCTACCCGAAGAGATGCTTCTGCATTATCCCGATTATGTCTTAGAATCTGCCCTCTGCAGAGCTGCTGAGGCCGGAAGTCTTAGAACAGTCCAATTCTTTGATAAGGTGCCTTTGAATTGGAACTGGAAGGATACCAATGATAGAACAATCCTTCATGCTGCTGCAACTGGCGGTGAGACAACGATATTGGAGCATATCACAGAGGGAAGGGAAATTGATCTAAATGGAAGAGACAAAGAAGGAATATCAGCATTGATGATCGCAACTCAGCTAAACCACACTTCTTTCGTGAGAGAACTATGCAAAAAAGGGGCTGACACAACACTTGCCCACAATAATGGGAAGACAGCACTGCATTATGCTATTATCAGGGATCCCGAAATAGTCACACTACTTCTCCAGCACAAAGCTAGCCCAATCGTATTCGACAAACAAAAGCAGACACCTTTACACTTTGCTTGTCGATCTGGGGACTTGGGCATCGTCATAACCCTAGTTGGGGCGTTGATTGAGGAGCGCTCAATTGACATCCGAAATGATAGCAACGAATCTGCCCTCCATATTGCAGCTGCCTGTGGACATTTGGAGATTGTCAGGTTCTTGCTTGAAAGCGGAGCGGAAGCTTTAGCTGAGGATAGCGAGAAGCGAACACCAATTGATCTTGCTGCAATCGCTGGCCATTTGGGCGTGTTGAAGACGCTCCATTCTCACTTGGAAGCTGTCTTGGCGAGTGACAAAATGTTGGCCATCAACCAGATGTTGGTCATACAATCTATATCAAAGAGGCGTCTCTTAATTACGAACTTCTTGCTCAAAACGATTGCGGATCCTAATTTCAGCATCCAGGGCAACTCGCCACTAGGAATAGCAGCCTCAAAGGGCTATGCTGAAATCGTCCATCTCCTACTTCAGCACAATGCCAAGCCAGACTTTTGCGATGAGAATGGGTGTTATCCTCTCCACTGGGCAGTTTCTGAGGCAAATACAGACATCGTCACGATTTTGCTGGACAACGGAGCAAGTTTGAATGTGTGCGATTCGTTCAAAAACACGCCCCTCGACCGTGCCGCCACACTGGGCATGACTCAAATGGTTGGCATGCTCTTAAAATATAAGCCCAAAGCATATGGAATCAGGGATATCACCAAAGCTCTTCATCTATCGCTAGCTCATCCGGAAATTGTTGAGATGCTCTTACTATTCGAGCCAAAATCAGCATTGTCTCATTACTGCGACAATCCACTTCATTCAGCTGTCAAAAGCGGCTTCATTGAATCCGTTCGTCTTCTAGTCGACTTGAGTGCGAGTTTAATGTTCATTCCAAATCAAGAGAGTATCACTCCTCTACACCAGTCTATCGAAACTATCGACCAAAATACGGATATCTTGCAGCTACTTCTATCTAAAAGCAGCCTCAAATTGGATGATTTCTGGTACCTTGATAAGCCGCTGATCCTCCATGCATTATACCATGGCAATTTAAACGCCGTTCGCTTACTCTTATCCCAGTATCCGGCAATGGCCGTGTCCAAGAATGTTGATGGATCCAATGCTTTGCATGTTGCGATCCAAAATGGGCACTCAGAGATTATAGAGGAGCTTCTCAGCGCCTCAAAAAACCTGAGTATGGACGATCGCACAGCTGATGGCCTCTCGCCCCTACATATTGCCATTATAAGTTCTCAGGGCGTGAATACCATTCAGAAACTAGTTGGGCTAGGGGCAGATGTAAATGCCTTTGACAACCTGGCGAGAACCCCTCTGTATGCAGCAGTCGATTTGAACGACGTCGATGTGGTATTATGCCTCCTTAAACTTAAAGCCAACCCCAATCTCCGCACTCTTATTGGATCAGCTCCCTTACAACTCGCAGCAGATTCAGCTCAAGTCCTAGATGTCTTGTTGATTCATGGGGCCGAGATTGACTCTGCAGACAATAATCGTGGTCTTACAGCACTTATGCGAGCCATAAAATGGCAAAATGAAGAATCAGTCAAAACCCTTCTTAGACATAAGGCCAGTGTTAACATTGTCAACAAGAGTGGCCAGACAGCACTGCATATTTCGGCAGCTAAGAGAAGCTCTCACATTACTCACCTTCTGCTAGAGGCTTCGGCTGATGTTTCCGCCGCGGACTATGAAGGAATGACACCACTGCATTACGCTTCGTTGTCAAGCGAGGATGAAGATATTCCTATTGAACACGTCCAAGCCTTGTTAGAGAAGGGGGCAATTCCCAACTGCAAAGACAATAAAGGGCAAACACCTCTCCATTACGCGATCACCAAATGCGCACAGTTGATCATGGAGAAGCTAGTTGAGGCTTTTATCCAAAAGGGGCTTGACATTAATGAGAAAAATGGTCTTCAACAAACACCGCTCCATTTAGCACTTGCTCTTGGTACTTATGACATGTCAAGATTTCTACTTGAGAAGGGAGCAAGATTGGATGAGAAAGACAAATTCGGTGCTGGCTGCCTTACTTTTGCCGCCGCTGGCAAAGATAGTAAACGGAAGATTGAAGTACTCCTTGAAATGGAAAACAATCGAGTAGACCAGACGCCGTTGTGGGATTTAAACGACAAGATCGCGGCCTTCATGGTGTCAATGACCATTGATCTCGGAACCGCCAAGGTTTTGGCCACATCGGATAGGGGAATCTTTCTAGGCCAGAACGATACTTTTTCCATTCTCAATCAATGTGTGAATTGTGGCAGGTACGATGCCGCTATTGACTTTCTGCAGCTCGGGGCCAACCCGTTTAGCCACGAGGATGGACAACTTTCAGCTTTCCAGAATGCTAGTCTGACCAAGGATCCTGATAATCCATTCTTGACGGCCTGCATGGAAATGATTGATGATGGGCCACCGGAATTGAAGCATCAGCTCCAGATCTTAGCGCTGATGCTCGAGCATAGTTGGAGCGATAGGTGGCCGAAGTTTCAGCAATGGAAACAAGTGCTGGTTGAACAGCCAATTGCGGACTATGATGGATGGATGATAAGTGATTTCATCCACCAGCTATCCCAAGAACCCCCACTTAGCAGCATGGCTATTGTGCCCAAGAGCAGGACAAGATTCTGCGCTCCGACAAAGCTTATGCTTCCGAGACATTGGAGAGAAATAGAAGACTTGGAATGCATCGATTCCTTATCAAAAAAGGGTAAAAAAGTCTCTGCATCAAGTAAGTTTCACTATACATATATCTTCTCAAATATATCATTTGATTGGGCCATGGGGGAAATGTCTAATATGATACACATTGGGCTTATGGATTAACATATTGTCTTTTTAGGTGAGCTATCTACCTGCATAGGTTTTCGAGCCGATCACCCATTCCCACCTCGAAACACGAAAAGTCGCAGTTTCTACTATTTTGAGACTAAAATAGTTGAAAATAGTGCCAATGCCTCGGGCCCAACAGAAATCGGGATTGGCATCTGCGGAGAATTTGCCAAAATAGACGGCAGGTTCCTCAGCCAACCCTGTCACACTCCATTAGTGTGTTACTATAACAACGGTGATCTATATGACTATCTCTCAAATAGTTGCGAACCCACGTTAGAAGATGAAGGGTTCTCAAAGGGGGATATAATTGGGTGCGGGATTGACTGGGGAAACAATGAGGTTTATTATACTCTGAATGGCGTGCTAGTGGGTGAGTTCAGCAGAAGATCCCTTGAAATTTTATAAGAGTTATCAAATACTAATATTATTTATGTTTACAGATCGTTTAAGCACCAATGTGATTTTCCGAAAGGTATATCCCGTGATTATAATAGGGAAAGGTGCTGGCACTATCAAGGTTAACTTTGGGAAGAAGAAGGAAAATGGGAAACGTCTGAGATTTAAGTTTCCCGTTCCTAGATAAGACCCAGTCAGTACTTTAAAGTCTTCGTCAATGGAGAAACAATTACGACAATAAACTACAACAATAGCGCACCACCATCATGGGAAAGCACTGCGTAAATTGGACATATTGCGGCTATGCACACCACTCTGCCACTCACAATAACCTTGTTTTAATTGGTGCACTTCTTTTAATGCATTTACCATATGGAATATCCTCTGGAAAAGTTAATAGTCAACGATCAACAAGTTAGTTATGTCTCTAAACCTTTCTACCCCCTATTTGACAGCTTTACGGAACCCTGAGAAAATGACCCAAGTAATAAATATGAATATGAATAGCAGCTTTTGCTCTTCGACAGTTCAAATTTCACCGGCAAAGATAAAACTTGTAGATACAGGCGAGCTGAGTCCTGTTTAGGTACACCCTGGCCTTTTCCGTCGAAAAACTAGCGAGATGAAATGTACCAATTAAGCATAAGATCCAAGTGCGGGATCAACAGCAGCAATATCTTGAACAGCCTCTCTCCAGAGTTTGCTAATAAACTCCTCTCCCTCAGGAGTATTGAGATAAGCAGCACCTCTATCAATTGTTGTTAGCACATGCTATTACTGTCCGAGAAATATTGCCAAGTGCACGTACGGGTCGACTTTATTATGCTGCAGAAACTTGCCATTAGTTTCAGGTCCCGCAACGACGGTTGCGTAGATAAGTGTTCGCGCGCCTTCCTCTACGGTACGGCCCATAGACTTGCGGACGAGCACCATGGGAAGCTTTAGATAAAATGGCAAATTCTTATCCAGACCCGTTTGCACAAGCCCAGGACAAGGGTTATTGACGATGACCTCAGAGGGTGCCAAGGCTGCCAGGCGACGAACGTAAGCATTGACAACGGTTTTGGTATCAGCGTAACGAAAGAATTTGCTGAAGTTGGCTTCATCATCAAAGTGGCCGATTATCGTACTGTTAGATGGGACAGGCTTCTTGGTAAGAGTATTTTGCTTTATCTGGGTGGCAGAGCCTGTAAATGTGATGCGAGAGGGCAATCCTCTAACCGCAGCCGTAGATCGCAGTAGCGGGAACAGTTCGAGACAAATTAGAAGGTGGGTGTAACAGTTTACTTGAATTAGCAGAAGAAAAATCAGTACTTCCCAAGCCGCGCATGAATGTCAGGCAATATCTCCCTTCCTCTCTCACCTTGCATGTTCCGCTCATGGTTACTCTTGCTTTTCTCATACCCCAAAACGACCTGTCCGCCATTGTTCAAGAGTATATCGAGTTCTTTGACTTCATCTTTCACCTTGTTGCAAAAGCGAAGTCCAGACTGGTAGTCATCAAGGTCGAGCTCGAACACTTCTATCATCGCGTCGGGATTGGACATTTTGACAGTGGGCTCAGCACGGAGAGATGAGACGGCTTCTTGTCCGCGAGTAATAGAGCGACATGCTAGAATTACGCGAGAGGCACCTAACGTAAGGAATTGCCTAGCGGCGTCGTATCCCAAGCCAGCATTACCACCAGTGATGATGATCGTTTTACCACTGACATTGGTCTCACTTGGAGTTGGTGGAATAGGAGGTTGGCCCATCGCACAATATAAGTGGGCAAAGTGGGTTTTGATCGTAGGGACAGAACAAAAGACTTCTGAATGATAAATGGGTATCTAAATGAGATTTTGGTAGAGCAGATTCATTCCCTTTATATGAACCGCAAATGAGAGAGCCGTCAAAATTGGTCTTCCATTTTCGACGGGCGTATCCTATATAGGATATGGAATTGAGATTATGTCGCCCTAGACCGTATGATCTACATACTACCTGTTGCTCAGGAAACCTTGATTCACATATAGGCCAAAGGATCTTAGCTCAACGGTGTTAGTTGAACGTGTGAAGCGACTAGGTGCATGTAGTACACTAGCAACGAAATAGGCATGAAGGTAGTCCGCCATTGGCGGTTGAATACATGTATTTCGGGTGAAGGATTCCGGACTTTGTAATCAAGGAGAACGGATCAAAATTCTGCCCCACATGATTGCAAATCATTTCCACCTCGTAGAGATCAAACGCTTGAGTGCCGAAGATCTTCATTGGCTAAAGAATGCACAGAACCCTTGAAACTCCGCGCGCTTTTACAAGTGGCTCATTTTTTTTTCATGATCCGATCCGCAGCCAAGTCCGCAGCCTAGCATGTCTATAGACTATTAGCACCCAGCAGGCTCCAGGTAGGCGTCGTAACATAATAATAGACGGCCGACATGGGATTCGGAGTGCGAATACAATACGTACGCCGCTATCCTATGATGGATGTCTGACGAGATGATCATGATTGTTAGTGACAGAGGCTCAGATCCGGATGAAAGATGCCGGGAACTAGTTAAAATGGGTTGAGAGCCTCCAATAACCCCAATTATAGCAGCACTAACACAAGCGAGTTCCACGCAGTATCAGAGATGCGAATACATCTACATCGACTAGGGAAAAGCAGCAAGAAATGAATGTAAAGTGATCATTGCCCATAGAAATTAGGCTTCGAATACGCACGAGCGCTGTGTAGTGCTCCCAAGGGGAGGGATTCCCTGACGAAATGCGTGTGTCGCGTAAAAGCCCTTGATACCTTTGTCCACCCATGCAGCATCCAGCAACAAGGTTCATCCGAGCCCATTTCTCTCTTCCTAGAGCACTCGGCTTTTTACCAAACTTCATGGTTCAATCTGCCTTTTAAAAGTGGGAGCGTCGAACACACAATAGTGCTAGGCACCCCACCAAAGCTAATATGAGGGCTGTCTCGGCAGAGCAGAGCATGCGTCAAGCATAAGAGCTGGCGCCAGCCAGCTGAGTGGCCAAGCTCTTAATTGCTAACGCCACATCCACTCATCAGAAGCTGGAATGACTAGTTAACGGAACGTCTCTTCCGGCATTTGCTATGAGCACTTCATCTAATTAGATTACATTTTGAGGGCCAAGATCAGTGGCTTTATTTTGAGACGATCTCAAAACAGAGTTATGATTCGAGAGAGGGTGTCTTGTTGTGGGAACCTGTTAGTCAGTCGATTGTAAAACGTGACGGTATATCATCTAATGAGATGGGGAATTGGGAGATTTGCAATAATATGAGTTAGCCTAACAGACGCATCAAGTGAGCTCCGTCATTTGAAGAGGTGCAATTAAGGGAGGGGCTATTCAGCACCCCAGTGGCTAATAGGAGTTCCGAATGGAGTAACAACGTATAATGAAGATCTCTTATCACCGTTACTTAAATAGATATTACACAGTTCCTGGAGTATCTGCTACTATCCATATATTCCTCTAATATTTGCTATCATTATTGCCCAGGTTGATTTAAATTTAAGAATGGGATGCTGAATAGCGAACGTGGGGTGCTGCATAGGTAGTCACTCCCCAAATTGTACATCTGATGAGAGGCTCATTAATGCTGTCACGGCTGGTTCAAAAAAAGGCCATGCCCTAGCCGTTTGTTCAAAATCCAGAATCAAACCATATTTCAGTTTAATTGGCAACTGCTGGTCAAAGTAAACCTTGGAAATTTAGGTTATACTGCTGGCAGAAGCACTTAGGGCAAACCCGCATACCAAGGCTCAATACCAAACTCAGAATACATGCGAAAAAAAGACCAAACGCAAAGTTCAAACGCAACGCAACAAAGTAAAAAACTAATATATGTAAACATGCGTCCAAGAACTTGCACATGTCAAATCAGATTATTCGGTGATCTAAACTGGAAGAGTGAGCATATTAAATACGTGTACCTATCTAAAGGTTGAATCGACTCATGCTGTAGTATAAATACATGTGGTGATCAATTGTCTCCATCTGCTTCAATCGGGCAGTTAATTACGAGTGTTTTAATAACGAGATCCAGGTAGGTGACAGAAATTCAACGAAGAAATACATGAATGTTGAAGCCATTGTCTGAATGCCACGCCATGGGAACAGAAGCTGAGACAATGTTTAGCGTTGCTATCACGGCGGGTGAATGGCGGAACAAACTCCATAAAACTGCATTCTCCAATCCAATAACATGTCTTTTGACCTATTCGGTTACGATATTGCCTCTGGCTATCTTGAGACCAACGTCAGGCTTTTCGATACGCAACTTGCAGCCAGCCCAGAGCATGGGTGGCAACCTCACTCAATCGCCAACTGCCGCCCTCATGAAGTAGCCATAAATTGGTACATGTATTTAATGTCATTCTAGCCAGAATTCATTTCAAAGCACCAAGAAATATTAACGATATTATATGCACCACGTGTAACTCATGAAAGCTTCACATAGAAGCACCACAGAGTTGAGCCACCGGCAATCTCCATGTATATGTATTACTCGTGACATCATTGATGCGATTTCAATGACGATTTCTGGGGATGAGATCTTCAACATACATACCCCATTCCGTTGGTGTAATGTATCACCACCGACACTTCATGGCAGGCTGAGCAAACACTGATCGAAACACTGGCGTCCATCTCCCAGTAACGGCGCCTGAGGCGGGGCGCCGAAACGGAAGCCTCCGCATACGGCCGAAGACTGGATCCACCGAGGTTCATGACACAGAGCTTCAGCCAAAGCTCATCCTCATAGTACAGTATTACACGTTTTCATTATCCAACATGCATGTATACAATCCGAAGCTTTTCCCACTTTATCATACTTCTGCCACTCTGAAATAAGACTCAGCGATTGACGTAGCCCTTACACGCAAAAAGCGAGCCGGTGCGCGCATTTCGTTCACGACAAACGCCACAATCGGCGGCTAGTAGATCATCGGCCCCCACTCGAAAAATTCATTCAGAGTTGAACTTAGATTTGACCTTCTTAGTCACTCTTTTATCCACTCATCAACTACACGCAACATTTTGGATATAAACAATCAGAAGGAAAGGAAGGCCATCAATACCAGTATCACTACCAATACCCAAAAGGGCAGACCAAAAAAAGCGGCCACCATGTCGTCCTCCGAAGCCATCACCTCCATCTCCCTGCAGTCCTTGGAAAAGCTCTCCACAGGCAAGGTCCGCGATCTCTTCGGCCTCGACGACAAGTCCCTGCTCTTCACTGCCACCGATCGCATCTCGGCCTACGATGTCGTCCTCGCCAATGGCGTCCCCGGCAAGGGCCTCATCCTGACCCAGATCTCAGCTCATTGGTTCTCCGTGCTCGAGAAGAGCGTGCCCGGCCTGAAACACCACCTCCTATCCCTGTCGGCCCCGGCCTCAGCTCCCTTGACGCCGGAGGAACGCAGCTTGCTCCGTGGACGAACCATGGTGTGCCGCCGGCTCAAGGTGTTCCCCATTGTGAGTACCGGTGACATCTCTTGAGACGAGACGGTCTATTTTTATCAAGAGACGGCAGACCGCTTATTAGTTTCGTTCTAGGAAGCTATTGTGAGAGGCTACATCACCGGCAGCGCGTGGAGCGAGTAGTAAGTCATTTCATCTCGCCTCATCTGACCTCACCCACCAGGCTGTTGCCAAGTCACAACCTTCGGCAGTCAGCCCATCCTATCGTTGCCCACCGGCCAACCCCGGTTCACCGGGACAAAAGCTAACAATCCTGGTTCAGCGTCGCCCATGGTACTGTTCACGGCATTCCTCAGCCAGCAGGATTGCAGCGTTGCGGCGCGTTCCCCAACGGACCCATTGTAAGTTGCGCCTCGCCTCGCCCAATAGCCTTCTCTGCTTCCCGGTCTGCCCTTATCCTAAATCACGACTGCCACCGCTTCCACGCCCACGCCCTCCAACGCAGCAAGGACTCAAAAACTGACAACCCAACAGTACACCCCATCCACAAAGGCCCCTGCAGGAGAGAAGGACGAAAATATCTCCCCCCAGCAGGCCGTCGAAATTGTAGGCGAAAAGTATGCCGCCCGCATCCAAGAGCTCAGTCTGTCGGTGTACAGCGCCGCGGCCGCCTATGCCCGTGAGCGCGGCATCATTGTCGCCGATACCAAGTTGTGAGTTGCTCTCGACCCCCCCGGCCGACCCTCGCTACGCTCATGCAGCGAAATCCTTCTGCTGCGGGTCTCCCCTGTTTTTGTGAGATTGCTTGTACAACTGCCCGATCACCGTTGCAGAATGCCGTCTCTGCATGCGCTGGGACACGATTCCCCGATATTTCTTTGCCTTATTGCCTGCCTGGCCTGATCTGCCAGCTAACAGCTCCACCGCAGTGAATTCGCCCTCGACGAGGCTACCGATGAAGTCGTCCTGGTAAGGCATCCTTTTCCCTCTAACCACACGCCGGTAGCGGGCACCTGAAGTCCATCCAGGCTCCCTCTGAACAATCCCAAAATAGTCATGAACTAACGTTTCACAGGTTGACGAGGTCTTGACCCCGTAAGTCGTATCTCAGCCAATAGCCCACCCCATGCCTTACCGGAATGATCGGGGAGCACTAGCTCCTAGATACCAGAATTATAGCCTGCCAAGCGCGTTCGCGCGCAGCGTTAAAGTGCACTCCAAAATTTTTTGTAAAGTCACATACTAATAAATCTCAACAACCAGTGACAGCTCAAGATTCTGGAACGCCGCAGAGTGGAAGGCTGGCTCCGAGGCCCCCTCATACGACAAGCAGTTTGTCCGCGACTACCTGACCAACTCAGGGCTCAAGGGCAAGCCTAATGTAAGTCATATCGCAGGGCAGCTCCCATGGCTAGCTCCTATTTCCCGATCTTAGCATGGGGAAAACAACCCGATGCCAAAAGATGAGGGGGAGGGTCCAGAACAATGTGACCTGACTCATGGAACCAACAACATGTGACTGACTGATGGCTCTAGGTCGAGTTGCCCGAAGCCGTAGTCAATGAGACGGCGCAGAAGTACAAAGATGTGTTTGAGAAGTGGGTGCTCTAGACAGCAACTTGTCACAACTCACCTACTTGCGTGAATCCGATGCTGACCACCAACAAAAATAGACTGACGGGCAAGACTCTGGACCAAGCTCTGGCCGCTTTGGAAAACTGAGTCACGAGCACCTGAGACGCAGCAGGAAATTCGAGGGAGAGACATGCATAGAAAATAGGGTCGCGTAGACGAGCCCGCTGTCGTCGATACGAGGCACCAAGTGGTCAAATCGAGCTGTCAGATTCAAGTCTAGTTAAAAGTGGCTAGTTCGACAGATTCCATCCCCCATGTCATTCCGCACCCCTTGACTTGCTGAACCACCTTTTTTTGCCAAGTCCTCTCTGTCTTAGGTGAACTCACTTTTGCTCGCCCAGGTGAGGTCTAGATCGCGTACAAGAAGTCTAGATCGCGTATGTATATGTGAGGTAAGAAGTCTAGATCACGTTCAAGTGAGGTAAGAAGTCTAGATCAACATTCAAGTGAGGCGGCCACGCGTCTCAGACTCACACGGCCACAAAGCCCGGCCTCGGCCGTGAGACAGCTGTCATTTAACTACTCAGACAATGAGCAAATCAGACAACAGGGTGCCTCCATGTCGCGCTAGAAGGAAGAAATGTTCTCGAAGCTTCATACTTTAGTGAACCTGGCCGGTGATCAGCACCTCGACAGAACGATTGGCCGAGGGGTCTTTGCGCGCTGCAGAGCCTGTCCCTGTCAGACACCCCAGCAACTACCTTAGCATACTGCGTGTAGGGTCCCTGGAAAGTTAATTCAGGCCGTTGGCTCTAAGTATATTGACATCCAGCATTGACGATTCGCAAGCCAACACCACTCGGCAGTGGCTTTCCTTGCCGTGCGTCTGCTGCAGAATGCGTCTGCCAATGAGGGCTCAAATGCCCACTGCCATCGCCGTCAGCAAAGTCCAGAACGCGCTCGATCTCCTGTGAGCTCCCGCCGATTCATGGGCTGGATCATTCTAGACCGATGAATCCAGGAACAAGAGGGAATCGGCGATCCAGAGGGTTACAAATCTGTGGCAGCATGGAGGGCTGCCTATCGGGCAGTGTGCCGCGCGTGAGTCCAGACACCAGTTCATGCAGACGCCGCCGAGTATGCCTGATGGATTCCTGCATGGAGAGAAAAATTTTTATCAAGGAGGGGGAAGCCACATGAGCAAGTCTTTTGCTGTTCGAGGCACAGCGGATCTATCACTTTTTTTTTTCTCTCTCTCTCTTTTTTCTTGCTTGACACCCACAAGGATCCTCTTCTTGCGCTGGGCAGGGGTTGGTTATCATGGAATGAGGGGGTCGTACAGATGCGGAGTACGTGCATGTACTTACTAACCAAACCTGCAGCCACCGGATTAGCAGGTAGCAATAGGTGACCGGGTCATGAAAAGGCTGGCCGCGTACCAAGTAGGTACATTACACAGCCGATTGAAGAAGATAGTACCTAAGGCAGAGCTCAAATCCATGGCCCATGACAAATCGACAACTCGCCGAAACGAACACGCCACGCAGCTGCAGGGCCCGATTGGGACGTTTGCAAGAGAAAAAGGCGGCGTAGCTGCTCGTAGAAAGTGAAGCTCTGCGTCGTCAGCAAGTTCCAAGTTGGTGTCACCACGGTAGGTACATGTCTGTACCTACTCTGTACGAGACGAGGCTCTCCTTGCAGCGGTGAAGAGCCAGCTGAAATGCAATACGACACCATCATCCACCTCAACTCACCCAACGCCGCGGAGTGCCCCATCATTTGCAATGCCCTCGCAAGTACCGTCAATAGCCCTGGTGCGCGAACCACGTACCAGTGCAATAAGTGGCAGTACATTGATGCGAGATGGGTGCCTTCGAGCTAGGCAAGGTGTTGAACCCTAGCCTCCTGCAAGCCCAATTCTGCAAGCCAGCCAAGGTAGACTGAAAGGTAGAATGACAGATGACCGTGTGCTGCAAGTGCCCGCGGTGGCAACAAGATGACATAGCCCTGGAGTTGAAATGCGACAGCGTTGGCTTCTAAATCGCTCTCAACCCAATTTCAACTCGCATCGCCCAGTGCTTGCTTGCCTGACCGCAACTTTGTCATGTGAGGCTCCGCCTCCAGTCCATCTGCTGGAGAATGGAAGAACAAGGCAAGCCCAAGTACTCTCGACCTGCAGGTACATGGCGATCCTGGCTTGCCTGCTCTGCTGCATGCATTAGCACCCTCGGGGTGAAGAACTCTGCACCTGTAGAGACTCGCAGAGACACCACACATCGAAGCTCCTGAAACGGGCGTGCATCTCCCGGTGGGCACGGGATGTTGTCGAAACAAAACAAAGCACAAATAATGGATCTCGGTCCAAGATTATGGCTGAATCGGTAATTGCCTTGTTCGTGCCAGGGGGGAGAGGAGGGGGAGCTGCCTCTGCTTGGCGGCTCTCGTGCGTCTCGAACATCCGACCAAAGTCACAGCCACGGAAGAAAAAAAAGGAGATTTAGGCATCATCAAACCAGTTGGTCTAGATGAACAACTCATCACCGAGCAAAGATGCAAAAAAAATCCTTATGCTGACAGTCGATCAGCGTACTAGGTGGCTCGGAGAGCCCAACACAAGTACAGGGCTGTTTTGAGACAATCCCTCTTTTTTTCCGACCACCGGGTTCCTTACACCACACCACTTCCCCAACTAGCCTCATTCTTTTTTGCAGGGTGTTTTTTTTCTTTCCTTTTTTCCCTGTGTTTCTTTTTGGAGTAAGGCAGGTACCCAGCTCTTAGCGCTCTGGTGCGCGCGCTCGCGCCGGTGTAATTCTTGCATGATGTTCTGCGCGTGCGGAAACTGATCCACGCCATTCCATCACCGCTCGGCCTTGGACCAGAAGCCGATAATGCCACATCCGCCAGGGCACTATTTGCAAGATTCGGCAAAGGCCCTTGTAGCTCCAAGCTCCGGCCATGTCGGATGGCGCTTTGGGGGGTGGAGAGACGACAGCCAGGTGAGAGACGAGCACGCCCCTCTAGACGCGGCCAGGGCTGCTCCCAAGGTGACAGTGCTCGCCAGTATTCCGATTCGTCACAGGTTCCATCTCTCAACTCACATGCCTTTAACATCGCGCTAGCTTGCGTTGATGACCGCTGTCTTTGCTCGCTGCTCCGTATTCGTTGTCGCTGGATGCTGGACACTGGACGCTGGACTCAGGTATATAACCCCCTCCCACCGCCGCGTCATTCTCCTACCCTCTCCATCTTGCTCATCATCCTGATCATCTTGCTTCAAGGCACTCGACACTCCTTTTCCAACGCACAACTTTGCTTTTGCCACCGACACCCGTTTGACAGCCTCGAAACTCGAGCCATTCTTTCCCCGCCGTCATGGATAACGACAACTACCCACAGACCGTCGATCTCTCTTCCGCTCCCGCCGCAGCCCAAAACCCACAAGAGCCCAACACTGGGGGCAAGGGGCCTGCCATCCGCGAGCCATTACCAAGCGTCACCACCGCCATGAATAATCTTCACATACTCTGGGGTGACGTCCCAAACAAAGGAGGACCGGCTACCGAGGCTGGTCGTAGCCAGACCACGACCACCACTAGTACTTCGGCCACCGACCCTCTTGCTGCTGCTGGTAGTGGCGGAGGCATCAACGGTGCCGGCAGTGGTGTTCCTATTGGCCTGACCATGCCCATGGTCCAAGCCCTCGATGCTGGCTCAGCCTCTCGAGGCCACAAGACCCGTGATGCCACCATCTACTCTGGCATAAGTGTCTCCAGCATGGACACTTCGGACTTCAAGACTGATCAGTCCCCGTATGGCACAGTCAACGACTTCTCCGTCGACCATGAGGTCTCCCACATGGGACCTTGGGCTGATGATAACATCAAGGGCCTGACCAAAAAAAAGTAAGAAAATATTCAGAACAAGTGGATCGGACGACAAGCATACCTGAGAACAACACCATTGCCAACAATTGTCGTCGCTGATGGTCGTTCGGTCCCAACTCAAGCGGCACAAGCACGTGCCGAACCGATGTCTGTCTCATATATCTCCCCGGAAAGAATGGAACAATAGAGTCTCAGCCTCTTCGCAAGAGAGAGCCGAGACAGCGGGAAAGACTAAACAAAAACAAAGAGGAGGAAAATCAACCACGACAAAAAGATAGAAAGGAAAAAGAATGCTCGGAATGCCGGTCCGGTGTCGCCTTTGCACACCGTCTGTTTCTTTTGTTCTCCAGCTCCATTTTTCTTTTTTCTCCCCCTTTACTATTCTCTCGCGGTGGTTCTATGTGCTTAGTCATTGTTCTCCTGGAACTTCTTATTCCCTTTTCACACACCGACTATGCATTCCACATTCATGTGAAAGCGAGGGGAAAAAGAAGATTCACACATGTATATGGGAGGATGACGCAAGGGTGGCATGTTTCTCTGGATTTCATCTCCCGTTAAGACTACCATGTACAGGAATTTGTTTGGCGGTACCTCTGCTCATATATAACACACTGTCATTACCGAGAACCAGATTGGGCACCACTAAGTTAGTAGCTGGCTACTACAATTGTATCATTTATCACACAGGAAATCTCTCATATTACAGCTGCATGCGGTTCAACAATTGTGCTTTGTGACTTGAAGAAATTACGTGTATCGGCCTCCCATCCTTTCAGGCGCAAAGACGTTTTTGTGAAACGCACCCCATGCCCGTTGTGATGCCAATTATTCCGGCACGCACTGCCCCAGGCTCTTAATGCCCAATCCCATCCCAATCCCATATCCGTCAGCCGGTCAATACAGACATGCATCAAGCCACCCAATTTGACGGATGTGACGAGCGCCCATGTGCAATTCCACCCAATGGGTTGGTACTACCTACCTTGGCCGATGAAGTAGGCCCCCCCTTGCAGGGGCAGCTTATCTTGCCGATGCAGTTGAGAGGATACTGTACGCCACTGTAAAAAAAGATTTAGACCACTACGCATTGAGTTTCAGTCGCCCGCACTCCCATCTTACTCTTGTATTTACAGTTGAAGATTTCCCCTGGCCTGGTGGATTGCACTAAGTGGTTTTAAAAACTTGACATCCAGAACAAACTTTCGTATCTCCAAACTCTGCTGGATACACGAACTGCGATGCGACAAACGTCTTACCACATGTACGTAGGCTGCTTACACTCCCGGCTTTTGGTCCGAACACAAAAGAATCGACCCCCTTGCGTCAGCTTATGAGACGGCTACAGTTACCGCATCGAGCCGCTGCCAACCCGTGTGAAACGGTTTCACCCAAAGAAGAACAGTGAGATCTAGACCCCAGTCTTACACTAAAGCATGCAAAGATCAACAAGGCAAATCACAAATTGCAAACGGTATCAGAATAGGTTAAAATCTGGTAGATCAAGAAGAGAATAAGAGAAGAAAAAATAAACGGGGGATATAATGCATTAGTATACCACTAGAGTACATGCAGGGGCTGACATTATCGTCAAAGAAGAGTAGGTAGTTTTCCGTGCAATCGTCAATAAATAGGAAAAGCTGACGCCGGAATACGGCCCCTCCTTCTATCCATTTCCTAACAACCTGCCCTGCTGTGTGAAGAAAAAACAACAACATAATCTTGCCTCAAGATATTAAATTTAACCGATACCAGAGAGAAATCCTTAACGCGCAAAAATAACGGGGGACTCCCGCTTCCCCCCTATGCCTTGTATCCACAAAATTAAGAGAAGAAGGCAATGGCGAGGGCAACGCCGGCAACGAGGGCGAGGGGAGAAGAGAGGCGGCCAGCGGCGCTTCCGGGGGGGACGGTGGTAACGGCGGGGTTTGAGGAAGTAGAGGCAGCGGTGGTTTGCTTTCCTGTAACCAAAGACATCCGTTAGCGAATCTGAAGCGAGCCTTGTACGAGGCAATCAAGAGCTCTGCTTGAGCAAGGGGGTATACGTACCAGTGGTGGTTGAAGCCGCGTGTGTGGGAGCAACCGTGGTGGAGTTGTGCTTGGGGGTAGAGGAGTGGGTGGTGCTCGAGGCCTCCTCGGTGGTGGAGTGAGCAGTTGTCGACTTGACCAGAGTGGTGGAGTGCTCCTTGGTGGAGGAAGCAGCGGTGGTGCTGCTGGCCTCAGCGGTGGTGGTCTCAGAAGTGGGAGCAGCAGTGTTGGTCTCAACAGCGCTGGAAGCGGAGGAGGCGCTGGAGATGGCCTTGCCAGTGCCCTGGTAGGAGAACTGCTGGCTGTAGTTGCTCACGCCGCTCTTATCGGTGATCTTGAAGCTGTAGATGCCAGAGGGAATGTCCTCCAGGGTGACGGTGGTGGAAGAACCAGTGACGGAAGCTGTCACACAGTTGATTAGTACTCTGTTTGGGCGCGGCCTGATCAGGAGAAAGGGGGGAAACGACTCACAAGCAAGAACCTTGACATCCTTCAGGTTGGTGCTAGCACCGGTCTGCAGAACAATCTCGCAGCCAGAAGCACAGCCGGAGTACTCAAGGGTGAAGGGCTTGCCCTCCTGGACCTGGAAGGAAGAGTTGAGGAACTCGGGCTTGGCGAGAGCAACGGCAACAAGGGCCGAGACAGCAACGACAGAGTACTTCATCTTGAATGGTTTGAAGGACGAGAAAACAGATCTGAACGAGAGACGAGAAGAAGGGTTTGACTAATGGGAAAGAAACGGTCAGTTTTGTTTCGTCGATCAAGCAGCGAGTGTGACTGGTATGTTGGTTGCGGTGGAAACCAAGTTTTTAATAGAAGATGAGAGGAATGAAGAAGATGAAACAACAACAGGAGCCGGGAAAAAGGATTGAGCCGTTGCAGCTGGCAGACACGCGTCCAGTGCGACAGACAGCCGTCGAGTGCTTTGCGCTGTCCTCAAACGCTTCCCTCTCCACCATTCAGCTGGCAAGCCATTTGATACAGCTCAGCAGTGCATTTCGCAAGGGGGCCAACCAGGGGGTCTTCCGGTATAGCGGAGTTGCTGGCTCGAACAGAATAGGATAGAATAGACAGTAACAGAAAGGAAAGGAAAAAGAAAAAAAAAAAAGGCAGGGGTAGATGCGTGTAATGGGCGCAAACGATCTCGTGTATAATACCAGTATGAGGTCGTCACGGACCCCAACTCCAGCAACAACACCGCAACACCACAACAGGAAACTCGAAAAGACGGGACTTACACTGAAATGAAACAAGGCCTAGAAAGCGAGTGATCAGGCAGATGGCGAGCAAAGAAGCAGAAGCAAAAAAGCAAGTCGCCGAAGCAGGACGGCAACGGGTAATTAAGTCGAAGCAGCGCAAGCCAGGAGTGGAGCGCGGGCGCTGCTGGAATTGGACGACGAGTCTCCATCTTGCCAGCCCAGGCAAAGATCACATAATTTGGACAGGGGCGGGAATTGGAGGGGGCCGAGCGCAGCCGCCGCAGTGTTAGCGATTCAATCGCCCATCAGACGAGCCCTGCCTGGGATGTTGCTTGATTAGCTGCAGCACAGCAGGCACCTGAAGCTCTTCACGTCACTACATGTACCTAGAACTGGAGCTCGCTAGGCCTCTTGCAAGCCCGCCCGCAGCCTATCAGCACCGCCCAGCCCCCTGGCCCAGCCCTTCAGCCCGCTAGCGCCACCCACTAGCGGCCAGCGAGCTAGAAGCAGCACAGGTCCAGGCACTCTCGCAGGCGGCGCAAGGCCAAGCTTTCAAGTCCCCCGGAAGATAATATCCAGTGCATCCATCAATCCACCTGGCCCAGCACCCGGGCTCCACTGTTCCTGGGCTGTCTGTCATTCCAATCTCGCCGAGCCATCAAATTCCACCGGGTCAATGCCCAGCGGCTGCAACGGCACGGGATCACTGAAGAAATTGAGAAGAAGGGAAAAAAAAACCACCTGTGCAGTGAAGAAATTGGACCCGAGGGAGAGAGAGAGAGAAAGCGCCTGAGTCAGCCACCTTGCAATTCAAGCACAGCACAGCACAGCACAGTACCAACATCAAAGCACAGCACTCACTTGCACACACCACATGAGACTGGACTTCATGCACCGCGAAATTGGCGCCAGCTTAGAGCCGCAATCCTACGCCTCGCTTACAGCTGTTGCTCCCTCTCCATGTCATTTGATGCCATGCCATGCAATGCAATGCCGCAAGTCGTCGGTCGGGGTGAATCGAGAAAAAAAGAAAAAAAAACAAGCAAGAGTCAGTCATCAAAAGAAACTCTGAGCTCCCGGCGGGCAAATCAATTCATCTCCCGCAGCCCACCCACCCCCATCCCGCCACACTTTGTCGATAGTCGATTGCCACATTGTGTCAAATACGGGATTTCCAGCGCCATTGTCGTGTTTTTGGACGAGCCGGCATCAGCATCGTCATCCGCGCCATCTGCACCTCAAAAAGCTTCTTTTTATGCTCCCCAACTGCCCTTCCCCTCCGTCCGCTCTACCCATTGTCTCTCTCTCTCTCTCAAACAGCTCGAGCTTCATCCGCTCAACCCGCTGCTGCTGCGCGCTCTTGTCATGTATCGTCCCACTCCGGCCTGGAACCCGCAACACAATCCCGCAATCAAAGCACCGCCGGCCAACCAACAATCGCCATCCCATCCCATTGATCCCATATTTCCCAACCATCACAAGCCCAATTCCCTTAGCCTCTTCCCCTAACCAACCGCCTTTGCGCAGATGCCCCCACTCAGGCCCAATCATGCCCCTGGTCCGGCTTATTCCCAAACAGGAAATCTCCATCGCCAGCACCTTTTCTTAGCGTCCGCGTTGCGATCAGCAGCCCATCCAATTCACGTCCCAAGAAAGGCACCTTTGCTTGCTGTATGTACGTTGGTTGCTTTCAACTGTTTCTTCTTCCGGCCCATCGACTCTATATTCCTCGTCATTGCCTAAAATCCCCCCTCCCAAACTTGGCTGTGGTCAGAGTTTCGACACAGCCCGCCGCTCCACAACACCAAAACCACGACACTTGTGCAAAGCTCCTCTTTCATCGCAACCTCTACGCAGAGAAAATGTCATCGACCTTCACGAAATAGTAGCATGAACAGGCATCATCCCACTGCACAAATCCCATGGCTAAACTCTGAATGCATAAACACGAATCCCTCGTCTGCACATTACGTGGCCCTAATACGTAACAACAACATCATGATGCTATTTTCCTCTCTCCCCATCCTTCGGGGAGAACAGTGCAAAACCGAAAGAACAAGAAAGAAAATCATGATATTCTCCCCATCAGTTGTCATTCCCCCTCCTCCAGCCGATGCATCGAGGCTGTGCTCGCCCACTCCTCCGAAATCACATCACTAGTCAGAAAATCAATAACACAAAAAATAGCCCCCCTTTTCCTCTTTTACTCATCCAATAACCTCATTCACAACCTTCAGCTCCGCCCCCCTTTTTCTATTACCTCATCTTTTACTTTTCCAAGTCAAGCTTGTTTCTGTCCTGCTCTATTCCTGTATTGCTCTCCCTCTTCCTCTTTTTGCAAATCAGCCACGCCTCTCTCTTCTTTCCCCGATCAAACCCCCCTGTCACCCTTCTGCTCAGCCATCCCCGCAAATCTCCAAAAGAGCATCAAAAGAAGCCAAACCCAAAACAAAAAATTACCCCGTCGCCCATTGGCCTCGCTTGGAGGGGGGCAAATCCTGTTCCTGTCTCACATTCCGTGTGGAGAAGAATAATCGATAGGCAATCTCCTGCCCCTACCCGACTCCACCTGCGTCAGATGCCGGCTGTCTGAATGGAGGAGGGATTGTCTACCTCAAATGTTATCTGTTACCTGTAATTACTGCTAGTGGCCACAGGCGAGTTAGTCGAGAGCACTAACAGGAAGCGATAGTGTCTCTGTGTCCAGTAATTGATGGCGGCCGAGTAATAGTCCGTTGTAGTTCTATTGAAGCTATTGGCATCAAATCAAAACAAATCAAACACCGATGCGTCTCAAACAGCGCCGCCTGCTTCACCCCAGGTGCAAGACATACTCGCACCGCCAGTAGATCAGCCGAAGCCTGGCCAAGACGGAGCGCAGATAGGTAGCCAAATCCATGTAAGCCATTGATCTAAATACCGGCGACTGCAGCTACAATTGCAAGGTTGATCCCGCTTCGCTATCAATGCCATTCTTCCCTCGGTCTTGCTGGCGCATTGCTATTCCTCTATTAAAATATCGGTGCCAACCTCTCTTCATCTCTTCATAGATGACACATAATATCACGTTGAAAGACACGTACGAGTACCATCTCATTGCATCAATTACTACTAGGCCATAGCTGTATTTACACAATGCCGACGCAGCCATCGGTACAATCATGAATGTCCTTGCCACATTCCCTCCGCCCTTGCCTCACTACATGTTTTTTTTTTGTTTGTTTTGCATCAGCTACTAGCTAGCTGGTTGTTCATTATTCGGCCAGTCCCTAACTCGCTCGTTATGCCAGCACATAAAAAATTGGAGATAATAGATACGATGATAAAATTCCAAATCTTGGAGCACTGGGTATTTTTGGGGGGTGTGAATGAGAAATGAATGACGACGCATTTAGTGCTCCAACAGACGCAAGCTACCCTGGACGACAACGTTTTCCAGGATCGATCCCGGGGGAATGTCAATGGTGCTTCCCTCAGTCGCGACGATGATGACTGTGCCCTTGAGCGTCACGCCGCGGCCCAGGTTGACGGCACCAGTGATGGTCAGGTGGTCAAGCTCCAGCACCTTGGGGATGGAGGGAATGTGCTTCTGGAAGTCGGACACCTTCTTGAAGTCGCTGCCCAGCTTGATCAGAGGGGCGTCGCCGAATCGGGCGGCGCTCATCTGGAGCTGACCGTGCTTCAGGGTGTACAGGTCAGACTTGACCAGCATCAGGTCGGAGCAGGTCTTGACGGGCAAGAATCGCCGACGGGGAACGTTGACACCGTGGGCGTTGTTGAAGTGGCGGATGGCGGCACCGACGGCCGTCTCGAGCTGGAGGATGGAAATGTCCGACTCGCCCTTCTTGTCACCGGGGATGGTCTTGCCGTTGGGGATAATCTCCATAGCCAGCTCGTTGTTCTCCACGACACGCTTGATGGCGCTGAGGTTCAGCCAGATGTTGTTGGTGTTGAAGTACTTGAACTTCTTGATGGACTTGAACTCGTTGACGTGCTCCTTGGGCACCTGGGCGATTTCAAGCAGGCGGACGGATCCCTCGTAGTCAATGATGGTACCACCCTTGACGTCGGCCTTGGTCTTGTTGGTCAACTCCATGATGTACTCGGCCTTGGTCTCAACCATGTGCTGGAGGATGCGCAGGTCGACGACAGCGCCCAGGTTGTCAACGTTGGACAGGAAGATGATCTCGATGCCGCGCTCCAACAGCTGGTCAAGAATGCCAGAGTTGTACAGGGACTCGAAAACGTCACCGTGTCCAGGAGGATACCACTCGGTGATGGACGAGTTGAATGACTTGGGGACGGGCAGGAGCGAGTCCTTGTAAATTCGGGGGTATCTTGACTGGTTGAAGGTGAGGATGTCCACGTTGTGGCCCTCGTACTTCTTGATAATGGCAGCGGTGTCATCGTTGGTGTTGAACGAGTTCATCAGGATGAAGGGGACGTTGACGCTGTAGGTGCGGTTGAGGTATTCGATCTGGCGGACAGACAGGTCGAGGAAGGACATGCCATCACGGACTTCGATGACGGACTTGGGTCCAACGCAACCCATGGAGGTACCCAGACCTCCGTTAAGCTTGAGGACGGCAAGCTTGTTCAGGAACTGCACGGACTCCGTGTTGGCAAGGTCCTCGTAGTCAACGACCTGTCCCTGAGCGGGAGGGGCAATGCGGTCCCAGTCACTATAGCACTTGTCAGCAACCCTTGTCGCATGGTATCACGGCGAAGGGACGGGGGGGTTATATAACGTACACCGCATTTCCCTTGGCCTTGTCGTTGAGGTATCGTCGGAAAAGGGCAAAGAAGTTGTCCATCTCAGTCTCGAACAGCTAAAAAGTCCAACGCGTTAGCAGAGCTGCGACGCTTTGGCGGTGTATTATTATTATTTCTAACCTTCTTCTCCTTAGGGTCCTCGACGGTCTCGGCGAGGTTGGTCAGGGCATTTCGCATCTGGGCGGCAGCGACGTTGGTCGAGGTGTTCTCGAAGGCCTGAGCATGATCGGTTAGCTGGCGCTCACAAAGCTCCTTTCCGGGAGACATTTTCGGAATTCTGGTGATGGAAGAAAGAATCAAAGCGTGAAGCAGGCAAGATGAAGGAGAGAGAAGCTGCTGTCGAGATAGGCAGAGCTTGGCTGCCTGGCTGGCTGTGATTGTGGGCAACGCAACGTTTCCGGTGAGCCTCCAGCAATCAGGAATGTCATCACCTGATGGCAAGTGCACAAGATGTTAGGTCGCTCCCGCGGCCATTAGTTTTTCCAAAGACTTGTTCAAACTCAATGGCCATATTGCCTCACCCAGCTGGCATTGTGCGCGCATTACCACGACCAAAGCACAGCCATGAGGGGTATGACCATCAGGTCGGAGGGGAGCTTCCCACAGCTACAGCGCCGAAGCGCCAGCCGTCTTGTTCCCTTTGTCGCGGAGGGCTCGCATCGCAGTGTAGGCCAATGCCAGGAAGGCGACCAAGAGTACCTAGTAGGCTGTAGAACGAAAGAAACGGCGGGTTACTTGCCATGTGACTGCGAGTCTTGCCATGGTGACGCTGCTCAAAGCCGTTGTCATCGGGGTTTGGCATGAGGTGCGTTGGCAGAGCGCTCTTGACTCCCGCCATTGTGATTGTGTGTGTTTGTTCGGGTGGTTGCGTGGAAAGACGTGCTCGTACTCGGGCGAGCTTCGATTGCAGCGATTCGCAGCTAAATGCGAATTCTGGGCGATGTAGATTGAGAGGTTGGCGATCCCAGGTGTCGAGAAGGGGGGAGGTATCAGGTCTTAAGGTGGGGTGGATGATGGACTGGCGGGGTGGATTGAATTGAGCTTTGCCCCAAAGCAGGATGTTTAGTCAATCTAGCACGACCCAGTTAATTACGCTGCTGTTGCATGTGCTGTGCTGATTGTGATTGATTCTGTCGTGTTGACGTCAATCGGTGACGCCCGCTGGCAGGCTCACGGCGTCTTGAATCCAATGGTTGGGGGGGAGGAGGCGAAATCGACATAGGCAAGGCAAGGTAGGCTTATGATACATACGTACAAGACAAGACACACAGCAACGGCCTTTGGATCTGCAAGGTGCTACGCCGGCAGGATCAGGATATGGATGAAGAAGAAAAGCTGTTCTGCTTCCACAGATCGACGGCAGAGCTCTGGCTTTAACAGAAACGGGGCAGCCCCTTTATTATTGGGTCAATGGCAGCTGCTGCAACTTTGACCGTAATTTCTGGATCCCATCGTCTGTGTCGTGTCGATTCCCCTGAACAACCACGACGCTCCACCAGCATTTCGCATCGACCTACTAGCAGAAGCCGCGCAACTTATCCCGGCCGAATCCCCTCACTGTCAGGAGCCCAAGGCCGGGGGGGGGCTCAGCCAGACCGTTTTTCCTTATGCTTCCAGGTCATGTTTATTTTTCGCCTCCGAGGCCAGGAGAGGCCTTGCTCTGCTCTGAATGCCGTCCAGTCCAACACCCACTTTGCACAGTGAATGGGAGGGGGATCCGCAACTCAGCAATGAACCCCGCCACTTTTTTTTTTTTTTTTTTTTTTTTCTTTTCTTGTCTGCCTGTTTCACGGCCCAAGCTTATTAACTAAGTGGCCAATTGTGTGGAAGGGTGGTGTTCATGTTTCCTTGTTCTTGGCACATGTACCTGTGCCGCAGCCGCCAGCCGTGCCAATCGGTTCCCAACAGAATACCACGCTTCAGCTCTCGGATGAGGATGAGGGAAAAAGAGGAAAAGGCAGAGAGAAACTAGGGAAAGTGTGGCAGACTGCAAGAGAAGAGAATTTTTTTATCCCTCTGCTGTCACGGTTTCCTCGCTGCAACATCGCCGCATCCCACACTCGTGTCAGGGTACCTCGCACATGTATATATGCACGACGATATGCATCGGCGCCCAGATGCGATACCCAGGCGGCGGCAAATCATGGCGGTGCATGTTGCGTCTGGCTGCCCAAAGGTCTGCCATTGGGCTGCGTGCCCATGCTGTAATCCCTCAAGCAGGCAAAAATCCCTCGACTCCCAACGAGTTTGAAGCTCTAGACTCTCGTCATGGACAGGTACAAGACAGGACAAAGACGGCACGGACAAATAAGGAGTCGTGTATTTTGGTCAGGCACAAAGTCGTCAGTCGCACGAATGACATGTCTCTTTTTCTTCCCAAGCGATGTTCTGCATGGTTTATCTTGTGAATCCTTACCCAGGCCAGGTGCTAACGTCTGCTAGTCGGCACTACTGCCGGCTCTGCTCGGTAGAAGTCATCCGGAAAGGCCTCCCGCCTGGCTGAGAGGATGCCTCCAAACGGAACCAGGTACTTGTGGTAGAAGCAGTCGCGCGGTTTTCCTCTTCCCTTCTGCATATCTCGTATAATAATATAGCGACTGCATCCCAATGCCTCTGGAAGAAAATTGCTCAACATGAAAATTGGACTTGAGTTAGGCATCGACACATTACCATCTCCAGTTCTGCGCCAGTGCGACCTCCGTATGACCTCCGGACCTCCTATAGCGGCCCGGTTGGCTCAATATTGGCTCCAAACACGTGGGGTTAAGGAGCATCGGCATTGCTCGGAATCAAACTCAACAACTTTGGACGGGACGAAGGGGAAAAAGGGAGGTGCTTGACAGCGTCTCGTCCATCAGCGACTCGCAAAAAAGATGAAAAAAAGCAAACATGGCCATGCAGATATTGCTACTGTTTCGCTAACAACAGGTTTGGTCCACTGCAAGAAATGACGATAATTTCCCGCAGTTGCTCCGCCTCTGTATAAATTGTAGCATCGCACGACGGTGCAAACGCCAGTCTCCAAACGGATTCTCCTGACCGGGGGGGTTGGAAGAAGAGAGAGAACTTCTATATTTACAAATAGTGCAACGCTTGCTCTTCTTGAGAAACTACTTAATCGGCCTTTCTCCCCCGTCTTGGAGACTTGGAGAATTCCATGTTGCAGATGCCGTCCTTTATCGCTGCAACGCCATTCGGCTTATCTCACGCAGCAGAGGCCCCATAGATAGGATCCCGTGCCCCCAAGAAAAATACAATTCAGCGGGCCTCAGACGCAATCAGTGCCGCTGCAACCACTAAACTACGCCCCGTAGCGCCCTGTAGCGCCCTGTAGCGCCCTGTAGCCAGCCACTCAGACCCCGTGGCGGCACGCTGGCTCTTGAATGGCCCGTGCTCCAGCTTCCGGATTGCCCACGACAACGTTGCATCTGGGGCCCAAGTGACGATGCAAAGAACTCTAGAGAAACCTTGGGCCATTATCAAGCGTCGCGCCGAGCCCAGATAGTTGCCCAGATAGTGCCATCGGCGTCATTCCAATGCACGACGGCGCTGGTGAGTCCGCGATGACACATCCGGAGCTTCCAGTTTGCGCATCCCGGTGGAGTCGAAGGTTGCAGAGATTATGTGCCCGATGGAGTGATGGAGAATCTTCTGGCTTCGGTGTTCACTTATATCGCCATGTACCCCGCGAGTCCCTTCTCTCCCTCTTGATGCCTTCATAACATCGAGCAAACCATCTCTGAAGCACCGGGGATACAGTGCTGAGACTTTCTTTTCTTATCCTCATTTCTCGAAGTCTCATTCTTGCACTTGTGTTCTCGTCGTAGCGGCAGAGTGGCGACGTTTGCCGTTCCGGTTCCGGAATCCCACTTCGGCGTCCTCCGGCCCGCTCTCTCTCCCCTCCCGTGTTTCTCAACACCAGCACCTGGGAGTATCGTCAACAACACAACAATGGGCTCCCTCAGTGTCACCATCACCCTTCCCAGCCTCCCCTTCTGGCACATCAACGTCCCCGAGACGGAACGCACGCCCCAGTGCCCGCCGTTCCTCCTCGGGCTCAACCCCAAAGACCTCCGAACCGTCTCAACGCCAGACTCGGAGTATCGCATCCAGACATGGGAAGAGGTCTGCTACCTCATCAGGACAAACAACCTGGAGCGATTCCAGCGCGTCCCCTCTGATCTGCGCCGCTACAAGGCCTTCACCTACCGCCTGGGCAAGATTCATGGCAGCATCGCAAACTTCGTGCTGAGGGAGCGTCTGCGCTGGGACATGCCAGTCGTGGCCCGCGGCGCCCCGTTCCAGTATGACGATGACTTCAAGATCCTTCACAACGATTGGCCCTATGGCCTCGACCGTCGCATCGTCCACCTGGTCGTCTGGACCAAGTTTGAGCTCAAGGCACGCTCTGCCACCGGAGACCTGACGGACAAGGCGAGGAAGGAGATTGACGACTTTGTGACCAAGACATTCCGGTCTCGAATGCCTGCCAACACGGTGAGTGGGCCCGTTACCCTCTTGCGAGAGCCTCGCACTGATTGACGTTTGCTTTGCAGGTCATGTGGTTCAAGAACTGGGCTGCTCTGAAGTCGATTCATGCCGTGGAACACTTCCACGTCATGCTCTTCAACCCGGATCCCGAGTTCATCAAGGAAATCACAAACGGCGATGTGCCTCAGTGTGACAAGGCCGATATTTAACGCGCATACCTGACTTTGCCTGACTTATGATGATTGAATGATTGTTTTTTCTTTTAATGATTTTGATGTATTGATAGACCAGATTGGAGTTTTCGTGTCCTTCGTTTACAGGATAGAGGTTTGGAATTACAAAATAGATGGTAGAATAAACGGAATCAAGGGATAGACTGCATAGACCATGGCGCACAGCGGAACTGTGTACCGCTTCATCAAGATAGATTTTCATCTTTAATTTAATACCCATTCATGAATTACACATTTGTTTCGTATCCGTGTCGTGTCGTGTAATGTCGTGGTCGTATCGTTCAAAGTGAACTGCCCTGTAGGGTAATTCAGAAGATACAGCGCTAACAGTGTGCATAACTCCAATAGGCCAGCTGCAGCACATCCACGGGAGAGAAAAAATACAAATCGAAAAAGAGAGACAAAGTCGCGCAAGATTAGGGGCCAAAGGGAAAAGTAAAAAAACGATTGGAAACAATGCATCCCCAAGCCACCGATAAGGGCCATGTTTCAGCCAAATTCTAATTGTCTCGCCTTGCGTGGCACTTTTTTTTTTTTTTTTTTTGTCCCTTGCATTGGCCACGACGCCTTTGGTTGCACAGCCAGAGGCTTTTCGCTGGCCCTTCCAACCCCGCCTTCGTTTCCATTTTCCCTCTTTCCCTCACCGTCTTCAGTGAGCAAAAGACAGACCGCTTGAATCCTCGGGAAAACAAGAGCCTTCACGCAGCAAGGGATACGAGAAATCGACGGGGAATTCATCACGCTGCAACGCCCCGAGAAGAGAGACCTGGTTCAGACCAACCCCCGGCCAGCTGAGGAGACAAGAAGCACACTCAAACGTGGGGGGAAGAATCAACGTCAGCCCGGCAAAACTCTGATCTGCATCCCGCAAGGCTGTCACGGCCCAAAAAAACAAGGGCGTTGTTTTGCTTATTCAACGCCCGCTCATAGCTGCCGCCCCAACCCTCAGCTGCGTATACGCCAGGGGAAGAAATGGCGGACTTGGAGCCCAACTGGCGAGTCCGCTTCCTAGCAGGCCAGCCTCCCGCGATAGTGCGGGTTCGAAATCTCCAGACGTCCATTGAAGGCCCATCCGATGCCTGGAACAGAAAAGGGAGGCCGCAGCCGCTGAGCGTCTCTGCCTCCGTCATGCTCAAGGAGGCTTTCGACTCGTCGTCTTCTGCTGATAGGGTGGAGACTGATACCGTGCACTATGGGCTTCTCAGCAAGGCGATCTTGGCTTCACTCGAGAAGCTGAGCCAGCAGCGTCTTAACGCAGAAGGATCCGACAACACAGCTAGAAAAAGTCAATTTTCAAGTTTACGAGACATTGTCAACACCATCTGGGAGGATCTCACCGGCCAGGATTGCAACGGAAGGGCGCCAAAGGCGACGGATGACGAGCCAGAGGTCAAGCCCTCGTTCTTGAAACCGTCAACGATCCGATGTCTTGAGCTCACCGTTCATCTGCCCAAAGCCTCGCTGCTGGGCGGCGGCGTCAGTCTCACCAGAATAGCTCTCTTTGGACGTGACGGCGAGTCAAGGCCTCAGCCAAGGGGTTTGAGCCTCAAGATCCATGACCTCAGGATTCCTACTCTCATCGGCGTCAACGATAACGAGAGGGAAGCGAAGCAGGTCGTCGTTGCTACTATTGAAATCGACAAATTTGACATTGACAAAGATATATTCACAATGATAGAAGGAGAGACAGTCAAGGTAAGTTCGAACAAACCATGCTACTTAGATTTCCTAAGCCAGATATGGGCAGCTCTGGATGCTGAGCGGTCAACAGGTCATGAGCCAGTCGTCATTCGAGACTCTCGAGGCGTTGGCCAGCACTCTGGCGAAAAACCTTGCCAGCTACCTGCACTCAAATCACACTGGATTTACGAATAGAAAGGGCTGGCCGATTAAGATTGCGCTGGAGAAGCCCATCGCCGTGGTCCTCGCTGACGCGGCCTGCGTGCAACTGAGCGTGAATTCATCCGAAGTGCTTGGCGATATTCAATGAGAGCCATAAACGAAAAGAGTTCTCTTCAACACATAACACAAGGTAACGTCATGATGGAGGCAATCATACAAAGTATGTTGGACGGGCAGAATTCGAGAGATGGAGTTGGTGCTTGATAATCAATACTACCAAAGATATCCATGTTTCCTTTGTTCAAGTGACTCGTCAGGTAGGTTTAGGCATACCTATGCTTGACTCGTGTATATTCATACCCGGACACTGGTTGGTCGTGTTAATAGCATTCTGACCCTCATTTCAACGACCCAACACCAGCCCGGACGAATGTATCGATTTGAGAAGTCGCTGCAGCTGCAGAACCGCAATGCAACGCTGGCATCGAACCACCCGCCCAACGCTCGTAACACCGGAGCCGGACTTCGCAACCGCCAAGGCGGACGCTCCCAGCGCAACGTGATTAACCTCATTTCACTCACATTACGCTCCTTCATGCCCGAAGACCTAGAAGCCTTCTAGAAAAGCGCCACTTCGGCGTTTCCATGTACTACTTGTATTGCGGGATATCACCATCGCATCCCACTCCCGTATCCCACTCCCGTATCTAGCTGGTGTCCTAAGAAACCCCCGGCCCCCTGTCGACGCCACGCCGCACCAGCGTGGTTGCTCCGGGCTAGCATCTAGTAATTTCAGGTTAACCTGCCAGAGCCACTTGGGCACGAAACAGAAGCCTAAAAAAAGTGCCATGGAAGCTTCTCAAGCAACGCCATTCCGGAGCTCCATGATCGGCATAAACCCATTTCCACCCGAAAGGTCACAGCACTGGGTGCCATCGGCGTTATGGGCCGCCTCTTGCCCTCCGTCACCCCGAGTGGGCGTCTCTTTCAAGGATCACGACGCCACAAGAGAACGCCACGCCGCGAGCTTTTTTTTTTTTCTCCGCCGCAGCATCAGGAGAGACTAGGACCAAGTCGGCCATGCTGCCGAAGTCAAGCATCGGCTTCCGGCGCGGTGCGCGCACTACCTCATCCTGAGATGTTGGCAAGTTGGTAGAAATTTCTGCTGAGCTCGTTTTCCTCGTGAGACCCCTGGCTGAAGCCTTGTTGCTGTCTCATGTACATGCAATGGGCCAGGGGTGGCCTTGAACCGTTCGTGGTAGTCCTCTCTATGCGGCCATGACCCCCAACTCTTACTACATATTATGAACGCTTTCGTTGGTGTATTTGAGAATACAAGCACTCCGTAGATGGAACCTCCATAGAGCCGCATGGGTTAGGCCAGCTTCGTTCCCACCGTTGCAGATCTCCAGACATACTCGTACTAATACTTGGCCGCTCTGTTTAGTTTGTTCCGTAGCCTCTCGCTTAAACCAAGCAAGTGGCATCTGTGCCGTCGGTGAGAACGATGTCAAGTAAAATGACGCTGATTCGAATCGGCTCCTCTTATCCACATAATGCCGACCTGTTCTTTGTACTCCTCGTGCTCCCACGGAGTACTCTTGCGCAAGCATACTCCATAGACACTCCGCCGTGCCTCACATTTGCACGGAATGGATCCATCCAAGTCTGCAGCTTCGCGCCCTGGAAGCGGGCCATCTTACTTGCATCTCCTCACGGCACTTCGTACGCACCTGTACATATTTTGCGCTCTGTACCTGCATTTGTGGAGCGCTCACTGCTCATCCATTGGGTATTTTATTCCGTATGCCTGGCCAATCATGGGAAGTTTCTAGCCGACTCTCGAACTGATGGCGGGTGAGCACAAGAGGGAGAATGTGTCCAGCGGACATGACTCGGCGTATTCTCCAGAGCATCTCAGCTGAATGAGAGAGATGCTGCTCTAAACCCCCATCTATCCAGCTTATCGACCGTGGTGACATCGGTGCAAATCCCAACCAAGCGAGAAACTAAACCCGTGTCTAAACGGTGTTCGAGAAACATGCTGCCGCTAACAGGGGACGGACCAAAAAACGCCTCCCGCAAGTTTGAGCCCAAGTAGGAGATGAACTTCGTTAGCACCATGTCTAGCTCATCCAACGCCCGTAAATACCTACGGGTATATTCCGGATGCAGGAGCACGTCAGGGGTTCTCATGTGGCCGTCGCTTGTGAGTAGTATTCTCATATTGCGTCAAATGCAAAACCTCTTTGGCACCCCTGACAAAGTACAAGCTCAGCCTTCTGGCCTGTACTTTTGGTGCACATATCCATGTGTGCGTCTCAAGTGAACCGTGCCGATATGCATGACTCGTCGCATTGGTTGGCGCTGTTCATCACCATATAATGCATCATTCTTTCTCATTAGCTGTGCAGGTTATAATATGCCTTTCTGAGCGGCTCCTTCCTCTAACCAGGGTGCTTGTATGTACATGTACGTCGGATATTTTGAAGGCTTGTTACCTTAGTAACCTTGTGGACAAGCTGGGGAATTCCCATGCACCTTGTATGTACCGTACGGAGCACAGGTGCGATTTCCGTCCGAAAACTTCGCAAGGGAATATGTACTCATACATGCAAGGGAGAACGATAGCAAATAGGTACTTGCTCATTCCCCAGTAACAGTCCTCTGTACTTGGTACCGACTCAGATACGAGTATATCGGTATATCCGCGCGTCTGCGCCCGATAGAGGTGGATTTCGGCTCCATAATTGTAGATGATGGTCTGGCAGTCGTCTCATAGCCTGGTAAATGCTTGCGGCTCGGCCTTTTCCCCAGGAATTTACCTATATCACATAAATCTCAATCACCAAATGTTAGAGGAACCGCCATTGAAACGAGCTGTTAGCTGATACGCCGTGCCTGGAACATTCTATCCAAAAATGTGGTGCCATGCCCAGGAGATGGTTTGTGAACTTAGTAAGGGATGCCCTTGGTAAGGATCCCGTGGTCAAGTTCTCTTAGGGTTGTTTCGCTGTCAGATGTCGTTTGCTTATTTTGACAGCGGCCCATCGTTTCACCAGATTTCCCTTTTCGAACTTACTGAACGCAATAGTCCAGTCTAGCTTTTGCAACCACAGTAATGTCGTCGCATGGTCAATTTTCGCTGTTAATCTTAGCTAACTGCCGTCGACGGAGTATGGAGCGCGGATGCCAAGTTTGCCTCCCTGCTCTTCCGGCAATGGGGAAGCAGATATATGCTCCGTATTCCGTATTGATTGCAAGATTAGTTGACGATAGCTCACCTAGGCTTCAGCTCCAGCCCCGGTCTCCAACCCTGAATACGCAGTACATGCCCCGTACGAAGTACAGAGTACTTGCACCATCCTAGTCCGTGACGAGACCCATGCAAGCTTAACCTTCAAAATTATCTGGTTGCCGAGACCGCACTAACTTCCGGACGGCCGCGGTGAGAGGTTCCGAGCAGCACTTGTTTTTCTAATTTGCTAGAGATGTTGTTACTGGATGGGAAGAATTCGACTCTCAACTTGTGTCAAGTTGGTGTGATACTGTCGAGACATGCTTCTAATGGCAGCTGTCATGTTTAATTAGTAAGCTCATTGGCCTACCAGCAGCGAGATTCAGTAGTGTATTCCGGCCGAGAGAAAGGCCGGAAACGTTCGTTGGTTTCAGAACCTCGCAGACGGCAACATACCCGAGTCTTTGCATCGAAACGACATTGCCCGATTTGGCCATATAGCCATTCAATCACAACCGGCATCCTGGCAACCAACTTGGCTTGAAGGCGAAAAACCCACCTATGGTAAAAATCACGGCGTTGATGGACCGCGGAGGTTGATGTCGCCGAAATTTCCTCTTCTATTCCAAATAATAGCGTCAAACAAGTTTAGCCCATGATGAATGTGCTAGTGTATTGCGCAACCAAATGATTGAGACGTACGAGATACTCGGGGCCCGTTTGCGATGCACACCGCCAGTCACAGCGTAAAATAGATAGGTGCGTAATCACCGAAGCGACCTTGTGCATATGTAGGCAAATACAGGCAGCATTTCGGCCTGCAATCCTCGCCGAACTGATGCAAGAACGCAGGCTGATAAGGTAGAGCTATGCATGCAACCCATCTCCAGGGTTGCAATTGACAGTTTGGGCAACGAGATACGAAGAAAGCCAGAGAGATAATGATCGATCTCCAGTTTGCCAAGGCGCGCAAACAACAAACCCTTATAGCCAGGGTTACATCGAAGGTGGATGGAACTGACAACGTGCCGCCATGTGAAGGGCAAGGTTCTTGGTTTCTTGTGAGTCAGGGTTCCCATGGACGCCAATTTACCATCGGTCCGGATCAAAGGCATCTGCTGTCGTAAACAGGAGTTTGCGTACCAGTGCTCTCTGTATGTATCTGCAGCCGTATCGAAATGAGTTGGACAGAAATGCTAATTTTGGTGCCTGCACTCTGTACCCTGCTGGAATAAACCCCGATTTTTCCCCATGTGGACTCAGGAGGACTGCCGGTATCGTCGGAGATTCGCTAAGATGTGCTGGTAGTTTATCAGGAGTACTCGTACACGGATGCAACATATCCGTAGTGTCGGGCAACCAAATGGAACTATCACTGAGAAAACTCCCCTTGCAAATTGGCCGAGCATCTCATCAGGGGCTTCGGCAGCGCTGTCGGTGAAAGGCTAGGAATGATCGTCACTTTGTAAGGAAACACAAATTACTGCCCAAGGTCCATCCAACTTGGGTTGATCATCGTCTAAAGCCCGGTGCCATGATCCATTTTCTGTTACGGTGTCCTTTCCATTGCTTCGAGTGTGCACTCGTACTCCGTACTTGTGTCGTACTCGTGCGTTTGGTCGCCGACACTCTGGAACCCGTAGCGCAAATGCATGTTAGTAGCTTGCGACTAGAAATTTGGCGTTGAAACTGGACGAATCATATCAGGGACTAAATCAGGGGCCACGTTGAGATCGACGGCCCGTTTGCCGCATTAAAATTTGGCATTTGAGTCGAAGAGTTAGAGGTGTCCAAGTGGCACCTATAGTGGAAAACGGAGAGGGATTTGTGTCATGTTCTGAATGACCGTGACCATTTTCTTGGGGGCTGCTGACTCCAGGCCGACCGTGAGGCGGTGATGGAGCTTATTTGGAACTTATCAATAAATGTAGTAGAACCGAAATGTGATACTCTCGAAAGAGAGGGTTAGTTTCCATAGAGGCGCAGAGGGTATGCTGATCAGATATTCAATCCTGGGTAGCGCTTGGAGGCTGGCATGTTGCATCGTCCT